GCCGCATTTTCCCCTCAGCACGGACCGTTACAGCCCCCCCCTCACTCACCCACAGCTCCGTGCCCCAGCTCATGGCTCCGCTGAGGTAAAAGGGGGGCCGCCGGGGGTCTCGGCGCCCGCTTCTTTAGGCTGCCTCCCTTCTGCCTTATCCCTCTCTGTCCCCCCTCAGGGCTCTCGGTGCCCTCGGCGGAGGCGAGGAGCGGGCAGGGCCGGGCGCTGCTTCACCGCCGCTCCCGCCTCATCGCGCCGCAAAATGGCCCGGGCGGAGCGGGGCGGGGAGGGGAGGGGGGGGGGCGGAGGAGGGAGGGAGGGAGGCGGGAGGGGGGCGCTTGACAGCTCGGCCGCACTGCGCAGGCGCGGCCGGGTGGGTGTGTGGGGAGGGGGGGGAGATGCGCGCACACTGCGCAGGCGCACAGGCTGCGCGCCCCCGTGCCTGAGGGGGGCGGCGGGAACGCGCTCCCCCCCCCCCCCCCCTCAAGTGCCTCAGCGCCTCTTTCCTCACTCCCCCCCTCGTGTTATTTGTATTATTTAGGCGTTATTTCTGTTTGTGTGATTGGGATGCGGGCATCCATTCCCCCCCCCACGTCGAGTAAAGCAGCCCCTTCAGGCAGGTTCTGCCCAAATCCAGCCCCACGCCCCAAAACCGACCCAAATCCACAAATATTAAGCCCGCCATCTGCCACCAGTGTGCTCAGCCTGCGAGCACAAAAATAATCAAATTATCTGCTTTCGCATAAACGCGGGTTGTTGTAGCAATTATGCTGGCCTTGCAGAAAACGGCTCATTTCCTCGCCGGAGAAATAAGATTTATTTTGTGCTCGTCTTCCTTTGTAACAACATTTGTTTGAGCTGTGCCACACATAATCGGATTTTACATTTTTTGCTGTTCAGCTACGAGAGATGTAAACAGAGCTTTAGATTGCTGTTTTATATTTATGGCCGCATCCGTTCATCAAAGATTTCCAGAGTGGGTACAGAAGGGAAGCACGTCTGTTCACCTGAGAGGTGTCTGCTTCCAGAGGGCCGGGATCTTTTGATGAAGGAGATAAAAATTGACCAGCTGCTGCAGGTTTTATCTCCTTTAGATCAGCGCACTTCTCCTTTCACTAGCTGGCACTCGGATATTAACTGACATCAGAAAGAATAAGAAAATAATTTAAGTGATTCCAACGTTTAGAACAACAATGAAGACAAGTTTTATGCATATAATGGAACTGCATTTATATTTTTCCCTGGTTAGTTCAATTGGTTTGAACTTAAAAGTAGACTGCTGCTCCTCACACAGCTGTCTTTGAAGGGATGCAGAGAGCAGGCATCACTTTTATTCATCATTAAAAGTTATTACTTTTAAGAACTGACTTCATAACAACTGAGAGACACACTCTTCAACTCATTTTACAGAGTAATTCTTCCTGCTATTGCCAACATATTTAAATATTTGTGTCTGCCATGCTGCCTAAAGCACAACCGCCGTCTTCTAAGGGCTTGTCCTTCCACGCACTCTCAGAAAAGGGGTGCCAAAGCCTGCTGTCCTTCCTTAGGCTTATGTCCACCCAGAACACATCACAAAACCAGACTCACGGCTTTGGGAGAGCTTAATCTATAAATACTTGAACAAAAAGAATGTACTGAGTCCAAACGCAGAGCAGCACTAGTATCATCTGAGGCAAATTTGCTGTGGAATTTCCTTTTGCACAAAGACCTGGGAGGGGAACAAGGCAAACCTGTTACACCAGCACGGGCAGGGAAACCTGTCCACGCTGAAAGAAGATAAAAAATGCTTAACTGGTTATAGAAAGATACAGGCCAGAAATGCAAGTTTTTATTTATGACGGAACATTAGAATCAACAATACCAAAATGTATGAAAATTTATTAAAATGTGTGGACAGAAGCTCAAGACAAAAACTAAATAAAAATGAATTCCAGATATTTCTGGAAGGAGACTCTCCCCTGTCTTTATTATTTAGTCTGAAACTCTCCAAGACAGGGACTGCCACTTACATTATTACTTTCATTTGTACAGTGCCCAAAACAACAGGGCCTGCAGCATGATTGGTCCCTAATTGCTAATGTAATTAACAATGATGGGAGCATTACGAGCCCTTTACGTTACAGCATGATGCTGGAAGGCTCAGCAGGTCCCAGGCTCAAAAGAATAGTTCAAAATAACACTTAGAAAATGGATTCTCTCTCTTCATTTCTGATTTACACAACCCAAATCAGAGCAGTACAGAACCTAGTGGGGGCTTTCCTCTCAGCTTCAGCGAGAATAAGACCGTTCAGAGCTGTTGTCTAGATACAGGCCTATTTCTGTAAATTCTGTGCTTACCCCTCCTGTTATGATTTAGCACAGTCTCTGAACTGGATCCTAAGCAGAAGCAATTTCCTTTCTAAAACAGAACTTTATCTAAGAGACTCTAACCCTAATCGACAGCAGCTAGATTAAATACCTTCTAAATCATTTAGCAGCCAAGCAATGTAAAACAAATCCCTAAACTGTAGTTCAATTTAAATCCCTGCTCCCTGGGTCTAATCATGCAAAGCAAGAAAAATCACAGCTTGCAAAGTAGAAGCATTTCCAGCTTCCAGGACATAAGAGGAAAAGGACCCACCTTTCCCCCTTGGAGTCATCACCCCTGCAGCTGCTTCCCTTTTATTTTTTTATAATTCTGGCTGTATCAACCACATCCAAGACAAGTAATGTGGATGTTACTTGTAACCTCTCATACACTGGGACCAAAACAGCACCCGGAAAGGAAGAGGACACACCTTTCCCTAAGGCCACCAGCATTACAGCTGTTTCCTTTCTGCTGTTGCAACACTATCCAGCTCATTCAGACACACAGCAGGGGACCTTGGTTCTCTTTACACGTCCTATCAGGGCCCGGAGGGGCCTGATTAGTACCTGATTAATGCCTGATAAACCTTAATGGTCATTCTCACCTGTGGCCTCCACCTCACACCCTCCACCCATAGAGGCAGGAGCCCTATTTAAGCTTTAGCCTGAGGCATTGTCCCCTGTTTGAGCTGGGTTATAAGGGTACTTGTTTTATGTTTGACTATAGCTGTGTATGTGTTTAGCTATACACCATGTTGTTGTAGATACCTGACTCCCCTGAAGCATTGATCTCAGACCTGCCTGATCACTACAAACTTATCCAGGTATTGCTAGACTGTGTCTGACCTTAGTTACCATCACCTGAAATACTAATTTCTAAATTCACTATCTGAACTATAGGCTAACATCTTAACCCAGTTTTATCTATGCCTCATTGTTACAAGCTTTTTTGATGACCTGAGCTCTCAGCTGCTGTCCCTAGGCTTGTCTTGCTTGAGAACTGAGGGACTGCACACAGCATGGTGAAGCCCCTACCCTGTTGGCTGCGTTATTGTGCTCTGTGGTCTTGAGGGAACAGTGAGCCCTTGCTGCTGCATCCCCCTTATCTCCAAGAGGGGTTTGGATAATGCCCTTGGTAGTGTTTTAACTTTTAGCTGGACCTGAAGCGGTCAGGCAGTTGGACTCTACCTTTGTAGGTCACTTCCAACTGATCTATCCCATTCATTTTATGACAAGGATATATTGATAGGGATGTAAATGTAAGTATAGAATCTTATAACATATATTCTTTTAAAAACATCTAGCCAAATAAAGTAAACATCACAAATTCCAACTTGCAGTTCACTTAGTCTAAGTTAGCTGCAACTTAGTCACTAGAATATTCCAATAGCTGGTAGAGAGTTACAAGGAAAACATATCAAACTTCTGATAATTTCCAGTCTGTGGCATAAAAATCCCTGCTTGTTCTTAGGAAGAACCTTCGGACTAAAAGAGGCTCCTCAGCAGAGCAAGGCATAAAGTCTCTGCTGCGGTTGCAAGCAACCATTTCTCATGAGTCTGTTGTCTCTGGGTTTCCCAGGGTGGTCTGTGCACAGAAACTATGATTACGTTATTAAAACATTCCGAGAAAATATCTGGACCAGAACTATCTTTTTGAAATAAACTCTGATCATGGTCACGTAGGCTTCCTAAGGGGATGTGGGCTCCGAGGCCTGGTGCTGAGGGGACATCTAGTGGCACGGCCCGGGGTCTAGCTAGGGAAAGAATCCTCCTGAAAAACACAGGGGGTGTGTGCATATATCTGCGTGCTGTTCATGCTTCCAGGTGTTTTCTGGTATTTTTCTGGTATCCGTCCAGGTTTCTTTGGTTGATGTCGAGGTTTCTGTGTTTATTCTATTACCTAAGAGTATCCAAGAAAACAGGGGAAACGAAACCGTAAGAAATAACCCGTACAGTAAGACCTGAATCACGTCTGACCAAGGATGAGCCATCCAACCCAACGTTGCTGTTGTAAAGGTGGGGATTTTTCTCGACCTATTCACCTCAGGCTTTGCTGCTCGCCTGTCCCAGCCCAGCTGTTTGCCTGGCTCTAGGTGACGGGTGTCGTGCAGCTCCTGCCTCGTACACTAAACAGGAAAATGAAAACGTGCGAGTTATGAGGTAGCAGAACACTGAAAAATTACATTTATTTGCATTGATGGCTTCCATAATGTAGATATATTGTGTAGCCTTTCAAAAAGGGGGATAGCAGTGGGTTAGCCACTTAAATCACCCCTGTTTATGTTGTGTTACTCTGAACAAGAGACGTTTATGTTGTGTTACGCTTCTTGTGCTGCCTTGGCGAGGGAAGTCACAGAAGCCGTGCCCCAGCTGTGTGAAATTATATTTTCAAGTGGAACTACGATTCTAAACGGCTTTCAAACAGCTCAGAAGCTTCCAAACCACCTCAGTATGAAAGCCGAAAGCCGCGTGTTTTATTTTAGGGCCGTTTTGCTGAGATATTCAGCCAAAACTCCAACGCATCGCTTAACAAACCGGGCAGGGCACCTCTGAGGGGGGGGGCGGGAAAACGTGAGGCGAGCGGGTGGGGCCGGGCCCTGACAGAGAAGGGGCGTGGCCAGGGTGGAGTGGGCGTGGCTTCGGCGGGGAGGGGGCGTGGTCCCGCGCTGCCCCCGGAAGCGGCGCTGAGGAGGATGCTGACGCTGGCCTGAAGATGGCGGCCCGCGGCGGCGGGGCCGCGCCGGGCTGGGCCGCGTTGGGGCTGCGGCTGGGGCTGGCGCTGCTCTGCGCGGGCCCGGCGGCTGCCCGCGTCCATCACCTCACCCTCAGGGTAAGGCCCGTGCCGCCTGAGGGGAGCGGGAGGGGGCTGGAGGCTGGCGGGAAGCCCCCGGGCCTAGTCCCGGGGCCTGCCCCTCGTCCCCTCAGGGCCGCTGCTGCCCCTCGGGCTGAGGGGAGCCCGGGGCTGGGAGGGGGCTGAGGGGGCGCTGTGGGGTCGGGGGCTTCGCAGCGTGGGGCTGGGGGTTGGTTTCAGTGTCAGTTTTGCACTACAGAGCGAACGACGTCGGGTTTTGCCTATAAAAACACCCAGAGGAGTTAATAAAGTGTAAAAGGAGCGGGATCGGCAGGGTAGGGGGAGTGCCAAGGCCTTGCAGGAGTTCCCCTCCAGCTGCTGGGATGTGGGGATGCTTTCCTGTCCCAGCTGTAGGGGGTTTCCAGTCCGTACAACTGTCTGATGCACAACTGAGTGAATGTTGTTCTGCCCCAGGAAAAGCTAACCTTTCTCAGAAACAGCTAACTAGGAAATTTTGCTGGTTACTTTATCGTTTTGAAGAATTTTTGACCAACACTTGAATGCTGGAAGAGTTTCTCCCAGGGCGGCGCTTTCTATCCTTACATTGTAAACTTTCGGTCTGGCTTCAAGCAAACGTCCTCAGCACCCAATACCACAGTTCCCAGATCCTTTCACAGCATTTCTGAAGTCCCAAAGTGTTTGCGCCCTTCTTACAATCGTGGCTTCAGTTTTGTAGGTATTCTGCATGGGTTGCAGCGCTGAGCTGCCACGCACTGCGGGAAGCAGACGTCCTGTCGTGCCTTCACACACCTGTATAAACAGGAGCTTCATTGTTAGAGTGCAGCCTCTTCACCTGCTGCTTTACAGCGTTTATGTAAACACCAGGTTCCGACAGCGGTACCCTTTCGTAATGAACCCCCCCTTCTGGTGTCACTGCCGCTGGCTCCTTGCTGGTGGCAGTGTGTGCTTTGAGGCTGTGCAAGGTTGAAGGCCGTGGCTCTGAGTGGGTGCTGGGTACAAGGCCTCTGCAAACAGCCTGTTGTTGCTTACGTTGGAAAAGCCTCGTTCTGTCTTCATAGTTAACGTCCGGAAGTGAAACTTCTGATGTCAGAAAAGCGAGTCACAATCAGCATGTCTTGCAGCTATGAAAAGAGCTTTTTTCCCTTTATAGAAACAAAATGAGGATTTTTTCTGAGGTAGAAAATGGTTTTGTTTGACCCATACTGTTAGAATAACCTCATCTAATGAAGGCTCTTCCTTGCTAGCACTTACCAGCTTCATTAAAATAACGTGGTATGTTAAAAACAAACAAACAAAAAATGCTTTTTTCAAGCATAAGAGGACTGATGGAAACAATTTTCAGAGGTTTCCAAAAGTGGGTGGCAATTAGCATGTTTCTGTTTACCAAAAACATGGTAAGCAGGGCATGTGCTGTGGGTTTGGGGTTTTTTGGTCTTAACATTTGAATACTGTAATACCGACTGCTTCAGAGAATGAGGAAGTTTGTCCAGATGAGACCTTTGTCAGGTACACAACTAAGTTTAATGCTGGCGAGTAGCTGGAATTAGGGGTTTCCAGTAAATTATCAAGAGGAACCATCCAACTGAGGATGCTGTGTAGCAGTTTGTCGTGTTACTTTATTAAAGTGAGATTGCTCTGTAATGCGCTGGCTTCCAAAAGGGAAGTAGAACCCCTCCTGTTTTATGACAGTGTCAAGATTGTGATGTCATGTTATTTTTTTATTTGGAAGACGTTATTTTTCAGTGGTTGTTTCTGTCCGTAAATCCCTCTGGCCTTTTTATGTTGGTTAAGTCTCAGATTTCAATTGCACAAGTTGGAAAGCCCTTTCAAAGCAACTCATACTGATAGCATCATCCCAGTTAGATTTGGGGTAAAATGTCAAAAATATCTTTACCCATTCTGTAGGATCTTGCATGCCACTTTTCTTGAGTTGTACTCAAATGGTGCAGGATCGACTTTTCATCTGAGAGGGAGAGATTTTTATGGAAAGCAGCTGACAACTTAATCTGTTGGTACAACTGTAACCTGTTACTAATAAGGCCCAGGTCATCCCCTCTTGAAGGGGCATGTTTAGGTGTTGAAGGCATCCTATATGAATTAAAATCCCTGTGCCTGCTAACAGCTCAGATGCTTAAGTATTCATTTGTGCTGGTTCACACCTTTGTTCTAAACACACAATCAAATATTTCTGCAGTTGAGTGGATATAAGTAAAAGCCAGATATATCCAACCCGTTAAACCTCTCGTGAGAGGTGAGACGACTGTCAGTTAGCCAGCATCTTCGAGCTGTTGATACGCCGAGCAATAGATGCTCATGGGGAGTGTGCTGCTGCTTGCCAGGATCGTGTAAAGCTGAAGGATTTGTGAACTAAATCCGTAAACTCTAAGCACCCAAAGCTGATATAAAACCAGGGAGGAAAGTGTGTGGTATGTACTGTTTGTTCATGGGGAGCACACTGGGGAACCGATGAAGCAAATGATGAAATTGAACTGAAATTGCGTAGTGTTTGCAGGAATTCTGAATGATGTCCCGTGTCTCTGCTTGTATTTACAACATACAGAACGCCTTGTGGCTGGATGACGCTCTGTTTCTCTCCTTGCTGCCCACACAATTCTGTCCAGAAGTGCTAGTATTAAACCTCTATTCTGACTGAGAAATAACCTGTAAAGCATTGTTAAATGACCCACGTGGACTCTTGTTTCAAGTGTCCAAGTGCCTAGAATGCAAATATGGCACCACTGTAATACTCTGTTAAACAAAGCATCTGCTGTAAGCCATGTCACTAACTTTGTTTTTTCCTCTTCTGAGCATTAAGGGAACCATCTGGTTATTTGTCAGGTTAGCTTGATTCTATTAGGGTGATCTCTTAGTACTGCTAAATTACAGGTCAGCTGTGCCAGGCTTTGTGTCCTGCTCTTACAGTGGCATTTGTGTAAGGAATGTTTTATGCAGATAGCAAAATTGGGGATCAAGGGAAAGAGACGACTTATTTATTTGTTGAGTTCATAGCTCAGTCTTCCACTGCCTCGTCCAGAAGAGTCTGATTGCCTTTAACAGTTGACTTCTCTGCTTCAAGTATTCTGAAATCTGATTATCTTTTTCTAGGCATAGCAGGAGGAGGAAATAACTTATTTTCAGTGATCACTTGTAAAAGTGCTTTAAACTAGGTTTTAAATGTGCTTTTTAATTTTTGTTGCTCTGTTCTTATTTTTCTTCCAGTTAACGACCTCGTAGGATTGAGGGTGCAGTTGCGTACCGGGCTGGATGGGGCTTTGAGCAACCTGACCTAGTGGAGGTGCCCCAGCCCATGGCAGGGGGTTGGAATTGGATGATCTTTAAGGTCCCTTCCAACCCAAACCATTGTGTGTTTCTGTACCTACTTATTGATCTCAGAATGCAAAGTACCAGGAATGTGACCTTTCCTTGTCTGATGTGGCAGCTGTGCGTAATTTTTACCTCTTTTCAGATTAGGTCCCTCAAGCCTGCCTAAAAAAAAAAAAAAAAAAAAAAAAGAAGAAGCCAAGTGTACTTGAACTTTAATAAGCTAGGCAAGGCATGAACAGGTATGAATTTCTAGTTTCCTTGCCAGTTTGAGAGGAGGCAAATTATTCTGCAAGTAAGCCTGTGGGCAGGGGAGGGGATTAGAGATTGGGATTTCTGTTAGAGAAACTAACCCTAGTGGTTCTGTTGGACCCCGCCTATCTATATTCAGTGCTTACCCTACCTGTAAGACTCAAGGCCTTGAGTTTTACCAGGACCATTATTAAAAATCGTTTGGAAGAAGGAGGCTACGTAAGAAATGTTCTCATCTGCGCCGTGCAGATAGCTTTGCAGTGTGTTAGGTGTGTGACTGCCAAGCAGTGACCCTGCCTAACACAGAAGGTCTGATAGGACGATAATGTGGTGTGATACTTGCTAAACACATGGCCCAAACCCAGCTCTCAGTTAGGTAAGAGTATTACAGTCGACTAATTCCTCTTCAGTCTGTTGCAATGAGAGTGGCTAGGGTTTAAACAAGAGTTTTCTTCATTCATCTCCAGTCTTTTTTTTCTTTTTTTGGTAGCAATAGTTTGTTTAATCGGTGATGCCAGCAATTTAATTTCCTCCAGACTTTTTTCTTGCAGCATTCTCAGGAGTAGAGTCAAATAATCAGCAATGACACATTTGTTTAAAGTTCAAGTCTAAGTTGCTGTAAGAGTTGATTGGTTGTATCTGAAGGTATCCTAAAGAGATTTGCTCTTGGTGTTATCAGACAGATGTTTTGCATGAATACTTAAATGTCAATCTTGGTCACCCTACTTCCTCTGTAATTGCTTGAGCAGGTGGCTGCGTGTTATGGTTTAACCCAGCCAAAACCAGGACCTGTGTATGGAGTTGGTAACCTGTCTTTTCTTTCTCATAGGATGATGTGAGGCAGAAAGTGCACCTGAATACCTTTGGCTTCTTCAAGGATGGTTTCATGAAAGTCAATGTCAGCAACCTTTCGTTGAAGCCACCCATGAGTGCTGCTAAGGGCACAGAAGTAAGTCACTTTGAGTCCAATCACTGCCTTAAGCTTTCTGTCAAGTTGCCCCTGCACTGGATGTTTGAACTTGTGTGAAGTATCAGACTGTAACTGGTGGTGCTATTTGCTTTGCTCGCCATTGCAAGCAACCTGTGAGGATATGTATACGTTATGAGACTTAGTCCTCAAGTGCTATCTGTTCTGCTTTAAGGTCAAATTTTAACTCGTCACCTCCTCGACTGAACCTGTGTGTCCATATATGTATTCTATGAACAGAGTAGCTCAGTAGGAAGGGACCTACAAAGACCATCAGGTCCAACTGCCTGACGGTTTCAGGGCAAATCAAAAGTCAAAGCATATTGTTAAAGGCATTATCTAAATGCCTCTTGAGTGTTGACAGGCATGAGGGCATCAACCAGCTCTCTAGGAAGCTTGTTCCAGCGTGTGACCATGCTCATAGCAAAGGAATTTTCCCTGATGTCCAGTCTGAACATCCTACAGCGCAGCTTTGTGCCATTCCCATACATCCTAAAGTACAAACTGTGTGTATATATCGATCCTCTATTGAACAGAGGTTTCCTAAACAGTCCTCTGAGCTGAGACTTTTCATATCGTTGTCCTGTTATATTCGAATACACCGTGTAATCATATTATCAGTAGATTCTCAGTACAGTGACCACATCCAGATTTTTAGAGAACTTTCACCTTATGTAGTACATAATGTTATGTTAATGATTTTAGTAGCGATATTGAAATACCTGGGTAGAAAACAGATGTGTTCTGACTTTACTGCATACTTCTACCTTATTACAAAACATATTAAATCTTTTCCTCATGCAAAATTATCTGGAAAAGTACTGTAGCAAGTTGAAAGGGAGCAATGCCAGAAGGCGCTCTCGTTTGAGTTCGAGTCAGTATATGTTACCTTCTTAGTAGGTATGGATGAAGCAGCAAGTCTATTATACTTGAATGATTTTCTGTCTAAACAGGTAATGAGAAAAATTCTGCCTTAAACATAGGTTAATTTGAGAGCAGTATTTTTGACTCATTCCATGGTGGCTTGGCTTCTCATCCTGGGAGGCTGAGCTGTTGTAATTTGACAGATTCTTCTTAATTGTCTCATAGGTGGGGTTCAGTTTGGATCGAACAAGGAACGATGGCTTCTCCACTTACCTGGTAAGAGATGTGGATGCTGGCCTAAAATAGTAGCCTCTATGTGGGAGAGAACATACCCATTTCTTATAAACAGGAGGATGCTTCAAAACTGTTTTTGATTTCCTTTCCAGGATGAAGAATTGGATTACTGTATTCTGAGAAAGAAACCAGAGCAAGATGTGTCTATTGTAATCTTACTTCTGGACTTCACAAATGAAGTGTGAGTAAATGGTGTACTTTGCATTCTTGGGTTACTTCAGTAGTTGAAGTCAATGTAACATTTGATACTTCTTGAAGGGCTTGGAAAGCTGCAGTGCATGTAGCTGTATTCTCAGTGGGTTACATGAAAGTTGGGAGTGAAAGAAATTTTGAGGTATAAAGTGATTCAAGAATTCTTTCTGTGTGTTGAAGGGGTTAGGGGATGTGACTTGTTTCTTTGGTGTAGGTTTTTCTTGCATTTTAATAAGGTGATTGTCTTTTACTGGTCACGTGTAGACTATGCAAGCCACTTTAAGAATGTTGATTGGCTTTTCTTTTGTATAAAATTTTTATTTAGTGTGAAAGTACGGTTCTCTGCAGAAGCTTCTTCTCTGTTACCTAAAATTTCATTCGTGTCTGAGGAAAATGCTACTGCCACGATTACCAAGCCAACAAAAACGTCAGAACAAAATGCTGATTCTGGTACAAGTCTGGAGGAGACTGAACAAAATACAGATGGCAAAGGTAAGTCTGCTCAACCTGGTCTATGTGTGCTGTCACTGCTAGTTTCTGGTTGATGTGCACCCAGTAGCGTGTTGTGGTCACATACCAGGATCCCCTTGGGCTAGAATTTGACAGTTGTGTAAACCTGCCCATTCTTTGGGCTATTCTTTGGACTGAAGTCTCTCCTGCTCAGTGATGTGCATTATATCCCCTGGAGGCTTAGCGTGACTGTCAGAGACCTACAGTATCTGTGAGGAGGGGCTGGACTATCTGCACTAAAAGATTTTAAACACTTGTGTCCAGTGTGGTCCATTACTGACAGTAGGGCTGCTTTGATTCAGAAACTGCATTAAAGATGCCCACATGTCCTTTCCAGACCTTATTTTTATGAGATGATGATCTTCCTTATCTGAGAGGTTAAAATCTAGTCTCTCACTTGGAAGTTAAGGGGATGGAGAGGCAACTATACCGGTAATCTTTCTGGCAGGGATACATCTTTGGCTTCCAGACCAGCAGATGAAACAATTTGACAATCTCTGCCCTTATGGAATTAGGTCTAAACAGTTTATCTCTTCCTGGAAGAGTTCCTAAATGTAGCAGACTGATCTGTAGTAGATGGAGTCTGTCTTGTTGTGTAGTGTGCATGATCTTTGATATAGGTGAAAATGGAGTATGCTGTCTTTATTTTGCACAGCTGTTTTAACAAGTCAAGAGCTAAAGCTGGATGGCACTGAAGATAATTTGTCTGACAGCTCTAGCTTTGCTTTTCCTGCAGTAGTGTTGTGAACATTGACAGTGTGCTGACACATGGAAGCCAAAAGCAAAGCTTAAGTCTTAAAACTTTTACTCTCTGGTAGGATGGAATGACTGTATGTCTGGAAAGCTTCATACAGGGTCTGTTGAAGTGAGTGGAGTGAAACTGTGAACTTCACATGCTGCTCTGTGGAAGCCTCCTGCCAGTTTAAATTTCTCCAGAACAGATCTTTACTTGGCAGGTTGCTTTTTTTTTTAAATTGTGACCTTGCCTAATAAGGAGTTGAGAACCTTTTCCTTCCCTAAAACAAGTTACTTTTTTGTAAGTTTGTCAGGCCTAATGTGTACATTGAGGCTAATCAGTGGTAACATTAAACTCACATAGTTGTAGAGTGTAGGAAACAAAGTTGTAGCCTGAATCCAGTATATGCCATCTGCCTCCTGCATCCCTGTAGCTGAAGGGGGTGGAAAGTTTCTTTGGGCAGGGTTTTGTGGAAGGTGCAGTAGTAGGGAAACCTGCCTTAACATTTAAGGATGCATCCAGAATGAATGGTAGTAGAGGGAAGAGTCCTAGTTAAGTAAGGAGGGGTTGGGGAAGAATCTCTGATGATCATCTTGAAAACTGTCATGCAGATGAGTGTAGGAATATTTGAGTAAGGTATTGGCAATGTGTAAAAGGTGGTAGTTTGTGAGGCTGTCTAAATGCAAACACTCTAAATGTACCATTAATACTTTTATCTCTAGATAAGAAGTCCCAACGAAGTACAACAACCTCTCAGGTAAGAATCTGCTGTTCTCATTCAGAAAAAAAAAAGGCAAAACATTACAATATAAGTATAGCCAGAAAGTTGAAAGGAGTATTCTGTTGCTCTCAGCTTCCACTATAAATGTACAGGATGCAGTTCTGTTTGTCTGGGTGATGTAACCAGATGTAGTAGGTACCTGCCTAGAAATCCGTGTCTATTTTCCTTTTCCCAGAGCATAATAGAACAACAGCATCATGTTCGCAACGATGGAGGAACTTTCTCATTTCAGGTAGGGTTTCTGCCATTGTCTAGTCTTAATGTGTATAGATGGTTCCTTTGACGCAGTACTTCGTGAAAAGTCTGCTGCTCCTTATTGTAGTGCCTGTTTCCTTGGTACAGAGCCTCTTTAGTAGCTTTGTAAGTTTGAGATGGACTCTTGTTGAAAGAAATGCCAGAAAGCTCATCTTTCATAAAGTGTGGGGACTGATTTTAAACTCCTTGCAGTTCACCTGAATATGATAGTCTGTGAGCCTTGGCATATCCAAGTATTTGGTCTGTTAAAGCCTTAGCATTTACTGGGATTTGGCTAGTGCATGCAGATTTCTAACAACAAATAGCTGTGACCTGTCTGATGATTCACTTAAGGGACAGCTGCTCTGCATGAAACCAGATGAATGCTTTGTTGCAGTACACTGATTCGTCATTGTTGGTTACTATAAAACAAGCATATTTTAGATCATAATGTGAAACAGAGCAAATTTGCATAGCTGTGAAAATTTGTGTGGTTGTGGTGAGAACAGAACAGCTTCTTATGCATTAAGGCAAGCATGATCAAAATTCTGTGCTTCACCATGTTAAATAGAGGACACTTCCTGTTATTTTTTGTGTTGAACTGACTTAAGCACTGATGCCCAAATGTCCTGGGTTTCTAGAGTGCACAGCAATAGTGATTCTGTATCTGGAATGCTGTTGAAACTTGCAGATACACAGGTACATGTATACTCAGAACAGTATGTTTGCAGAAAGGAACCAACTGAACCAAAATGACTTTTCTGGCCTCAGGAAAGAAGGATTCTTAACAATGCAACCCTGTTGTGAATGAGAAGAATGCTGACTTTCCTATTCTTTGTTTTCAGTTTTTTTTTAACATCAGCTCTGATAACCAAGAAGGTCTCTACAGCCTGTATTTCCACAAATGCGTTGGCGAAAAGGGGCAGCCTAATAATGATAAGCAGCTATTTAGTCTTGATGTGAGTATAGCTTCTAAAGTATAATTAACTCATTCACTTAGAATTGAAAGCTGTATATTTTAGTCTAGCTTGTATACCAAGCACATGCGGTACGTGAGTGTCTGTCTGGGGTGGGAAGTGATTCAGAGCTGCGCATTTAATCTCTGTAGTGGTGTTTCTGAAGGCAGCAACTACAGTAAGAAGAATTAAAGTACTACTTTTAGAGAAATGTTTGAAAATCTGAAGACTGCATGTGGGATTGGTTGAGTGTACACAGTTGTGACTAGATGCTGTAATGAGATGAGCTAGAACAGCTGTTTGTGGTATGTTAGTCCCCAAAATCACATTTTTTTTTCTCTAAACAGTTACAGATATTAAGGCTGTTGCTGCAATCTAAATTGTTGGTATTTGTGAATTCATTGTTGTTTTGCTTTTAATGGCCTAAATCAGGATGCATTTTTACACTGTTAGGTGAACACCCTTAAGGGTAATATTTCATAGCACATGTCCTATTACTTCCTTTCTGAATAACGTTGCATAATTGAAGCACAAGAAGGGACTGCCTGTCCTTTTCTGCTTTTCAAGGAAATTACAGGTGCAATTTGAAAAATATCTTGAGATGCTTGAAGATGAAGAGCTGATTATATATATATTTTTTGTTGTCTCATAAGTTAGCACTTCAGAAAGGCTAATTTTAAATGAGTGTATCTGTTTGAGTTAGCAATTAAAGTTCACAATGCTTTAGCCAAATCTGTTTTCAATTGTACGCGTAACACACCTTTAATATTCAGATAGAAATTACGGAAAAGAATCCTGAAAGCTACCTCTCAGCGGGTGAGATTCCACTGCCAAAACTTTACATTTCCATGGCACTCTTCTTTTTCCTGTCTGGGACTGTGTGGATCCACATACTTCGTAAACGCAGGTAAGCAAGCTAATGCTGTGTCAGTGACAAATACGGACCTACCTTGTTTAATTTTATTCCTCCTCTTACTATGCCCAATTCAGATGTGATCACTTAGAATTCTAAATCCTGCTCAATGCTGTGTACCTAATACAGTTTCTAGATGCAACAGTTACTTTAATAGGTGATGTTGTAGGAGACCATTGTTTAAAAGTTACCAAGTCTTATGTTAGGTTATGCATGCAGTGTGCATATTTTAATATATTGTGGCAAAAAATACACAGGAAATTCCTGTAGTGGACAACAGAGAATACTATTTGGAAGTAACTCTATGTAACAAGAAATCTTTAATAATCATTTTCTTATGAGGAACAGCAGACGAGAGCCATAAACACTTCGATTATAGACCAAGTGGTGGGAATTCCTCACTATGTGCCATGCTTCTTAATCATTAAAACATAACATCAGAAGCCAGGAGCAGCTTGGACCCTAGGACTTGAATTGAAGTTCAGTAGGTGATGTGGTGATCTGGTAGTCTGAAGTTCAGTAGGTGATGTGATGATTTGGTAGTCTGAAGTTCAAGCTTGGTGGTGTAGTTTAGTGACTTTGAGGGGTGGGGCAGCAGTTGTGATACCATTGGAATTGTATTCAGTAATTTTCTAACAAACATCTTGTATGTATAGATCATAGCTATGAACTACCATGTTAAACTAATTAAAAAGTAATAGCAGAACATGCTGTTAAAATGTTATTCAAGATGCTGCAGAAGTTTGCACTGCAGCATTAAAAAGAGTCCCTTTACACTAATAGTCAGCTCCTCCTGGGAGTTACTCTGACGTTTAGGATAAAGAAAATATCCTTGCAGAAACAGATTTTTACTGCTGGCTTTTAACTGATAGGTCTTTTTCTCCACAGAAATGATGTCTTTAAGATTCACTGGCTAATGGCAGCCCTCCCTTTCACAAAATCTCTGTCCTTGGTCTTCCATGCGGTACGTATAACTTATTCACTAAGCTGTTCAGCTGGGAATTAGAAATGTGGAATTCAGGGCATGATGTTAGAGGAATTTGCATTAAGGGGGGTGGGAAAGAGGAGCGAAGGGGGAGAGAAATGTCTTTCATATTGGAGTGTTGATACTGAACCACAGCTGTGTGGTGGAAGCGATTCAATTTTCATCAGCAAATTGTGACTTCAAATACAATTGAGATCGTGTCCTGAAAAGGGAAAGCAACAAGGATATACGGGAGGCTTGAATGAGTTCCATGAATTCTAATGCTTCAGCCATCTGAGGCTGGCTTGGAAGCTCAAGTAATGGTACAGCTCCAGCTACATGTCTTAACAATAAATGTTAATGAATGGTTGGCCTTGATTGATGTCTGTAAAATTGAGGGCTGCTTCTTCAGCTGACGTAGTATGGCATACCATGACAGACCTAACACTACAAGCTTTAACACATTCAATACATGATGTCTCTATTGAATTGTATTGACTTTGCCTTTCTGCTGAAAGATATCATTAACAAAGATAATGACAAACATTTAATCTTCCAGTGTTAGTGCCAGTCATGATCTCTGCCGTCAAGCTTATACAAGGATAATACCTACAAAAATTTTGGAGTCTACTGGCTTGAATCTTGTTTCCAAATGAAAGTAAAACTAGGGAGCCTCTAGTTTCCTATTGCAACTGAACTCGAGCAATGAATTAATAAGCTATATATGCAATTGTTTTAACTGTAGCTGTGTACGAAGGATGTAGATTGTATAAAATGTATTCACTGATGCTTAGGAAATAGAGAAAATGGAGATAACCTGATCAGTACTAAACAAAACTCGAATGTGTTGGGAGGAAGCATCCTCTAAATTATGGGAGAGATGAGTTTGTATACGCTGATGGAGAATAAAACTTGAAATGGCTGCAAGAGCAGACCTATTGTATAGGCGTGGGTGGGGTGCTGGTGAGAGGATTATGAAGTAACACGTTGTATTTTCTGCTTCCAGATCGACTATCACTACATTTCTTCTCAGGGTTTTCCTATTGAAGGCTGGGCTGTTGTCTATTACATCACTCACCTGTAAGTATATCAGAAGATTGTTTTGGTAGAATCAAACAATGAAACTGAATTCCTGGTGTAACCCTACCTTCAAAGAAAAACCCCCTCCCTTCAAAGAAAACTGGGAAATTGCTGATTCTTTTGTACTAAGGTCTGAGTGACAAGATAAGAGTCAGCCCCGTGTAAAGGGGAAAGCTCTACTTGCAGAGGGCAGCTGCAGAGAATTGGTACTTTGTGGGTAAAGGAGTAAAAGGAGAAATGCTTTGCTATTCTTTATTCATACTAATATTCAAGTATCTAATTTGCTCTTGGTATGAATAGTAAGAGGGTGCAGCTGCCAGTGTTTTCTCCTGTTCATGATGGTAAATGGATGACTCCCTCAGGAAAAGATTGCTTATATTGACAGTTGTGAATGAAGGGTAATGTTGCTGTGTGGTGCACAGTTGTAAGCAAATACATCTGCTTCACTCTTGTAGGATAAGCACTTGCCAGACTTACAAATAACAAGGCATTTATTTGGGTTTGTGGCTTTGCTGTCTGTAGGAGAGAAGACCTGGGCAGAAGTACAAAATAATCTCCTTGCACTATCTGCTTTTCTTTCAGACTGAAAGGTGCTCTTCTGTTCATCACTATTGCCCTCATTGGAACCGGCTGGGCTTTCATTAAACACATCCTTTCAGATAAAGACAAAAAAATATTCATGATTGTCATCCCGCTTCAGGTGAGGACTGAACCATGTTGATACTCACTATATTGTGAGAGAGCTGATTGTGAAAAATGTCACAGACTCTGAATCCTACACAGAATATCACAGTTACTTTTTGTATAAGTCTCTTGGTTACAATACAAGTTGAGTTTGAGAGTTTTGGAAGCTGTGAAAAGGCCTGAAGTTATTTATGTAATTTTCCAATTTTTCTCCTCATATTGAGTATGAGATAATGGTTATCGAATAGTGTCAGTAAGCATCAAGTAACTCTAATGTAGGTATAGTCATGCTGGGACAAAACTTGGGCTGCAAAACAGTACTAAATTACTCAGCAGAGATATGAAATGAAAGCTGTCACTTCTGAAATGCTTGCTGAATGGGTTTAAGGAAAGGGAAAAATTGTAGGACCCATTGCGTCTGAGGGAAATTTTCCCAGTATGTTCAAAGCAATCAAAGCTTATGTCCTACTCGAGCAGCTGAAGAATAAAGGAAGAGAGCAATTCTATTTGCTGTTGTAGGTAGAATAGTCTGCTTTCCAAGACAGAATCTGTTGCCCAGCTGCAAAATCAGAAGGGTATACTTAGTGTCTGAGGTTCTTGTAGAGCAGTACAGAGTACAAAATGTTGTGAATGAGCAGTTTGAATTATTGACTTGATTTAGGATAATGTGGTTAGACTGTTTGCTCTCTAAGTGTATGCAGACTCCTGTTTTGGTATTGTAAAAAAAATAAAGGAATTTTGTTCGTTTTTTTTTATCTCTACTGGTACAGTAGATTCAGCATATTATGTAGCAAAAAGGGCTACATCCTGAATGTCAGCAGAAATTAATTCCAGTCAGTTATTTCTGTAAATCCTGTGAAGGTGCTTCTGAACGTTTTATTTTTGACATAGAGCTGCAGAAGAATAATTGACGTTACCAAATAGCCTCTTTCTGCAACTGTGGGACAGCTTTTACTGAGTTGGCAGCCCACATCTTCTCTCTCTTTGGAAAGCTTCTGAGGCCATTAAGCACCTTTTGTCCCATAGGTGCTGGCAAACGTGGCATACATTATCATAGAGTCGACAGAAGAGGGAACAACTGAATATGGGCTGTGGAAAGAAATCCTTTTCCTGGTAGACCTGCTGTGTTGTGGTGCCATCCTATTTCCAGTGGTATGGTGAGTCACTGGGCGTGATGTATAGGTTTCTGAGCCCTGATGGCTTGGGCTGCTTCTCAGCTAGGTGGTTATGGACTGCTAAAGGTTAAGATGCTACCAAAGCAAAGAAGTAAATGTCTGTCCTTTGTGAAGTCAAGTCTTCTGTTAATTAAACTGTGTTGGTCTTTAACACTTCAGGCCAGTGTTGTAGAAGATGCTTGCTTGGGAAATATATTAAAAGGATAAATGAAAGTGGGGGGCATTTTAAAAGCATGGCCAGCACAGTGCAGACAGACTATAGGTGCCTTTGAAGCTTGCAACTTGTCAAAGTGCTGATTCTCTTATGTTGAAAAATAGGGTTTTGCTTTACTGCCTGAGGTTGGAAAGTAGGCCACTATATTCTAAAACAATAGCGCTGTCTGAGATCAGAGCTTCTTTCAGCCAGAGTAGCTGCATATTTACTTGACTGTTTAGAAGAAATAATCCCACAGGGAACGTTTCCCTGCCCTTCCTTCCACTCTACTTGGCAAGGAAAAATGTTGGTTATATAAAACCCAACCAAAACACAGATAATTCAGATAAATGCTATTGTTGCTGCTTGCCAGTTTGTCAGAACGTTTATGTTCTAAATTCATTTTAGTCTTAATTGGATAAACAGCTGGATTTAAAAGAGGATATGAAGGAGCTTCTGGCTCCTTGGTTAGTAAACACAATATTCTTGTTTTTCTCCAGTATCTCCAGTGTTTTTTTCTGAAACACAGAAGGAATGTGTCTGTCTAATAAACACATCCTCACTCTATAGTGTGCAATTCCTGAGCATTTTGGAGAAAACTGTTTCATGATGCATATGTGTGTGTATAAACACATACATGGTGCTCAGTAGATGAGAGTAAGCTTCACCTTGGCTCACTAAGGTGGGTTTTGGCTTCCCAGTTCTCTGCGTAATGACCAAACCCAGTCTCAGTGGCCTTCTGCCAAGGCAGGGAAATGTCTTCCGAGAAATTTGCACTACCCACTTCTTGACACTTCCCCCACTGGAAGGAGAGCATTTGGGTGGGGAGAGCATTTGGGTTGGGTAAATAAAACTACAGGAATAATAACCTTCATTGGAGAGAGATTCTGATCTCCTATGTAAAGGGAACTTTTACGGTCACAGCTTCAGCTGCATAATGTGCAGAATCTGTGTCCTGTGTAGCGATATGCTAAGACAAATCTTGCTTTCCATAACAGAACTGTGTCTGAAGAACAGATGCATTTGTGTGAACTGTCCTGTAGCTGTTTATATAGTGTGCAACCAGTGCTCCTACATTGTCATGGTACCAACACAAACTGGCAGGGAAGCCTAGGACACAAAATCCTGCCCCTTTTCATCTGGACAGCCTCACTGCAGCTGGTGGGCTGAGTCATATGAGCAAGGTGACTAAGACTTGGCCCTTGAATTTCCATTCCTGCAGGGTAGCTTCTGTTACATAAGATGCCTATGTCGCCATGTAAGCTGTAATCAAGTCTTTAAATGAAAAGAGCTTAAAAGAGCAGTAAGATGCCAAATGCTTGGCAGTACTCTGAATAGTAGCTCAGCTCACTTGTACAAGTGGAAAGTGTTAAGCTGGAAAATGCCCCAGTTTCTCACTTTGCTCCTGCCATCCCTCAAAGCTTTCTGTAGGCTGAAGCAGGTTTTAGCAATTTAGCTTTCTTAATCACAAGGAGATGCAGATACTTGAACTAACTGCTTGAGATGGGGGTGAAATGTATGCAGTGCCAAACACGCTAAGGCACAGTTAATTATGGGCATAGCCTGGCCATAGAGAGCTAGCAAAACTGTTAGAGCTCTAGGGGGCTGCAGTGAAGAGGGAGTGTGAAAATTAAAGCTATTCTACTTTTTTTATTTTTTCAGGTCAATAAGACATTTACAGGAGGCTTCAGCAACAGATGGGAAAGGCAAGTAATCAGAATTTTCTTGCTGTTCTATGCTACATGCCGTAAGATATTGCCAAAATTTCCAACGTAATGCTGATTTTGAAAAACATAAACTGAAGCTATAAGTCTACAATGTTACTGTTGCTTTGCTGCTTTTCCTGGATGGACTTTTAGGAATAACATCTGGAAAATGCCCTTTCTCATGCGTTGCTTTGACTGTCAGAACTCGCACGTGAGGCTTATTTGCTGGTTCTCGTTCAGCTCTGTGTGCAAGCTAGACATGGTACCTAGAACAAATCATCTGACAGCTTTGCCTTGTTCTCAGACTCAGGTGTTCAGAAGCAATCTAGAAAAGAATTCTGGAAGTGGGGGTCCGTTTTGACTAATGGTGAGCCTAATCTAATTTCTACAGAATTGTGTTCCTGCCTGGACAAAGGGAAATAAACCTCAGTAGGAAACAAACCATAAATTGGCATCGAGTGTAACACAGCTCTTGACTTGTCCATGTTTGTACAGCAATTTAAAGGGCTGCTTGTGTAAAGTCACGTTATGTTTATTGTAGCGGTGAGCGAGGCGATGGATGGAAAATCAGCCCAAATATGGCTTTTGTGGTGTTTGCTTTTCCTGCCTTGTCCTCTCACTGCTTCCAGATTAGTTCCTCAGTTGGCTGCAGATTCACACATGGAACATAGCGCTGGCTTCCTAGGAAGCGGGCAGCCATTTCAGTAGCCTGTCATTTAGGGCTGACTCTTGAAAGCTGTATTTGTAGAAGGTCTTTTGTTGAAACATCCATTCAATCCAGTCCTATCCTCTAATTCTATTGTTTCTGGAGGGACTGTAAGATAAAAGGGATAAAAATATTATTTACCCCTAGAAACCAATGCAAAAAGTGAGCAGTAATCTACCATGAATGTTATTGCTAGTTTTCTTAGCAGCATGTTTTCGTGGATATTTTTAACCTTGTCCACTGAGCATATGTGGAGTGTTTATGCTCTAACTGTCACAAATCTACTTGAATTTAGATGGTCCTTGAAGAGGTCTCTCTGTTAACTGAGGAGTTTGCATAAGTAAGGCCTGGTTCTTAGCTGAAGCTGTGCCTGCAGTGTGGGGTCAGTGTGTGTCACTAAGGCAGAAGACCTGCTGTACAGTAAGGGGGTCTGTGACTCTTCCATGCTGAGAACTTGGGGGCTACTGCACCTAACAGAGATGGAAAACCACTGGGTCTGTCCTAAGTTCGTTATTAGCTTGTGCTCACCTTGCACTCGGTGGTTTTTATCACAAGGTGGTGCTATGGAGTTTAACTTCAAAACGTACTGAGTGAAGGACAGAATTAAGGTGGACAGCATCAAGGATGTTCAACATAAAGGCTCCTGACCTGCCCGTCTGACACTGTGGTGGGTGGGATCCTGATCTGAGTAAAACCAAGCGTTGCTTTTGGCTTTTTATTCTGAAAGATGTGTTATAACGTCACATGGACAGTAAAAGAGGAGGTAAAAGGAAAAAAAAAAAAGGAAGTAAAAGAAAATGGTGATCTGAGAAGCACTGCTGCTGTTACCATGCTTAGCTGTGAAGATTCTCTAGGTTCAGTAATTGTTTAGGTAGCGTAGCATAAGGCAGCTGTGAGCCTAATGATAAAGGAATAGTTAAAGAAGAAATTTACCTTATTATAGTGCAACCAAATCATTCTTAGGCTTATAAATGAAGTGTCTTGAGTGGAACCACATGCTCCTAGCTCTGTAGGCTTCCCTTGGAGGTCCTGTTCTGCAGAAGTGCTGCTCAGTGTCTTGCCTTCTCACAAGAAAAATATGACCAGCACTAATGCTGAATTCCTCAGCCTTTTTTTTCCCCACAGATGAAGACTGTTTTCTCCTTAAGTGGTGAAAGCTTCTGGATCCTTTCAAGTGCAGTTTAGCTGCTGCACTGTCTATCCTGTGGTTAGGGTTGTCTTAATGTGTGGACAGAGTTCTGGTCAGCCTGCCTATTGCTGGCTAGGATTTATTGTCTAGTATTAGCAGCCCTCAAGGGCTGCTTTCACTGTTTCTCTTGCATAGGCTTCATTAAGTTACAGGGTATTTTGGGGAATTATATATTAAAAATTAAATAGCTGTTTTTCCTGGCACTGGGTCTTCTGGTGACCTTTTAGCTGGTGATGAAATCTGAGGAAAACTGTTTTGGGTTCCTTTCGTCTACCAGAACTAACGACTCCAGGACTTTATGGCTCAGAATCCTGCTTGTGTTCCCTGCCTGTTTGTCTTGTCCTCTTCCAGCTACTTCACAACCTGTTTATTAGATAGCACTCCCTTGGGTCAAGTGCAGTCATGACTGCAGTCTGACTAGCATGGAAATGAAGTAGCAAGCTGGCCAGGCTATGAGTCTTCAATCTGTTATAGCTGTGCTTGCTGTAGGCTTTTGTATTAGCTGTCTACAATTACATAAAAGGCTTGTTAAAACTACTGCTAGTGATCTCGAGTCACTAGGTAATGTTCGTTTAAACTTGATTTGTCTTAAAATGATTTCCTAAAGTGGCAAGGCTGGAGGAATGGGTCTAAAGCTGTAACTTATCCAGGGTGACCTCACAAGCACAGATGCTGTGGTTTGCTGGTAAAGAGTAGGCATGGCACAGCGATACAGCTGGGTCTGGGCTGCCTGGTTGGTTGGTGATTTATTTATTTATTCCTTTGAAGGTGATCTTTAACTCTGAAGCTAAATACCTGACATACACAGGCTTGTCCTGCACCGAAATGGGTGTAGAAAATAGGATTTTAGGAGCTTCTTTTAAAAAAATCACCACCTTCAGATTTAAGCGAGTGCCTAGCTCTTCTGGTCTGTCACTGTATTTTTCAGAGGCAGTCTGCTCTCTGTCCACTTCTGGATCTGCATTGCAAATGTCTTGCTTGCAGATTTAAGGAAATGAGCCTAAATGAGCCAAACTAAGCTAAATCGTTTGGGCTGCTCAACTACCACTACCTTGTTCACAGGCATTGTGAGAAAAGGAGGAGAACTATGATATAGTAAACTTATCTGAAACTCAGTTCTTGGTCCCTGGACCTCTGAAGTCTTACAACCCACTCTTACCTGTCACATTATATGTTGTTTGAGGGAGGAACAGAGGGCTGGAAACACTGCTGCAGCTTTTGTTCTGCCTGGACCTCTGCGTGTGACGAGAGCTGTGAAGCTCGGTGCAGTCTGATCACGACCAGCTAGCTCTTTTCCCGAAGCACTGCAGCATGGCAGAGTTGGCAGCAGTGCTAGGGGAAATGCATTGCAACATATAGCTCCCAGGCAACATCCCCCGTGTGCCGCGCAGTGGGCAAATGATGATGAATGCTTTCATGCTTGGCCCCCGTGTCAGGAAAAACCATTTGCTGTCTTCAGCGTCATCCTGCTTCTGTGCCACAAAGGCTGGGAGCGAGGAGCCTGGTCCTGCGTGGTGCTCAGCCCCCTGGGCTCAGCTGAGCTCAGCAGATGCTGGAGGCGATGGTGTGCAGATCTGTGCTCCAACACCTCGGCAGCTCTCCAGCGAGGAGCAGGGAGTAATGCACGGGTAAACATGCTCCAGGCAGTACACGGACATCTCAAAGCCTTGAGATAAAGCTTCATGATTTAAGTGTCGAGACCTCCATGGATAGCACAGGAGGGCTGGGAAATGTTGAGAAATGCAAGTTGAGAAACGAAATGGGCCTGTTATGTTCTAGTGTACTGCTTCCAGGTGCCCTGGATGTAGGTATCCAGGGCTGAAATGGCAGTTACGTGTGGGAGACACGCTGCTTATCCAGTACGTTGGAATTTCTTCTGACTGTGACGGGGACTTCTGTGCCAAACGGCTAATGTGCTTCAGAGTATTTGAGATTAACTAGTGCCACCTTCTAATGCGTGACACGGAGAGTTGCTGTATCTGTTTGCTTGACCCCATCTTCCTGGTATAGGAATGCTTTTAAGCAGAGTGCCATAGAGATTATAGGGCTGTATATCTCAGAGTTACTCCTGGAGCTGCTTTTTGAGGTCTAAATCCGCATGCTGCCTTCATTGCTGGGGAGTGGGGGGATACAAGACTTCCATTTACTATTCGGTAATGGCACAGATCGCACCTCAGATGTACACGTTTCTATAGCATGCAGTGCATCGTGGAAATACTCCTAGCTGTACTTTGCTTGCTCTAGACACGTTATGGTTTGTCTTTGCATACTGTATTGTCTGAATTTGAGCTCCTTTTGCCCTTATCTGCAGTCCTTTTCTGTTATTACATACATATTCTGAAAAGTTCAGATTTACTCATCAGAAAGCTATTGTCTGATAGTGTGCAGGGCTGTCGCTGTCTGGCTTTTTTTCTCCATCTTACAGACTGCCTCAGCATTTGAAATTAGCACAGGGAGCAAAATGAAAAAGTGATTGATTTCCCAAATTCTGTGGCATGTTATGTTTTGATCAGTGCAGATCAGGCTGTTGCAAGCATAAGCTGTTAAAGTAAATGGTGATGAAGAGGGGAAACTGAGAAGCAGGTTATAGAAGTTATAAGTCTATCTTGGAGGGTGGCTTTCATCTTAATTAGTCTATGAAAGAGGCAGAATGCAGGTACGAATTAGTTTGTAAAACCTTTGGTAGAATCTCTTTTCTTGTTATGCTCTGCAGTTGGGCACTGTTCCTTGAACGGTTATCATGCTCAAAATATAAAATTACCTAACCTTTACTGCATGCTGCCATTGCTGTTTTATCACAGTTTTACAGGCTGGGGCTGCAGGTGATTTAAGTTGTGACAGCTGCTGGCCTTCCCTCTTGGCAGCGTTGCTGTTGGTATCTGGGCTGCCAGGGTAGGTGAGCCTAAGTCTCAAAGTGTCCAGTATAGCAAGACTCAAGAATTAATGCTTGAAGCACCTTCAGCCTGTGAAAAAACAGTTCACGAGCTGCTGATGACAAACAAGGATGACTTTGGACTTTCTTCAGAAGAGTGTGTGCTGTAACTTTGAGCTGTTTCGAAAAACTGGCAGGATTTTGCAACTGTGCATAAATACTGATTCTAGAATCTGACAGTGGAGAGGAGCATTCCTGAAGTCGAGTTAACTACTGGTGAGCACCTGGCTGTGATAACCAAGCAAGCCAGCTTCCAAAGGTGCCTCTGCAGACTTTTTATTTGGTTCTTCTTGTCTTTTTTTCCTCTTCCCTCACCCTTCTTTTCCATGCTTAGCCATTCCAGATATCTAGATGTAACACTATGGCTCTGGTGTTGATGATCATGATGGGTAGGTGAGATCTTGAGCTGGCCTCTATCAGCTGAGAGAGAAGTGCATTGTGACGCTTGAGTTGGCAGCCAGATCTTTGGCTTCGCTATCCTTTCCTCCTCCTGTGCACTGCATGAATCCAACAGAAATGACTCCCCAGCTCACTCGGTTGTTGACTAAAACACTGATGGACTGGCAGTTTGAATCACAGCTGTTGAGTTGGTGTTCCTTCAACCACAAAGCCTGGGAATTCTCGTGGCCTGTCAGTGCACCAGTTGGTAGCAGTTCTTGGAGATGGATGCGTTGAGTTCAAAATAGATCTTTCTGTACAAACCGATACGTGGTGAATCACAAGATGTTCATGGTCACACTTAATGTAATTCTTTAAATAGGACAACACTGCCTCTCTGCTTCATGATTTAGTGAGTTTGTTCTGCGTACTTATGTTTTAATTTTTCTCTAACTGTATTATGGAAAACTTCTAACGTTAAGCTATCTGGTGGAGGAGGTCTAGACCTATGAAAAAACATATGTTTTTGCTATTTAAATGTGGGAAACCAGCATTTGTGAGCAGGTAATGTCTCAGGGCTTATTTAGCTATCAAGGATTTAGTTCTAGCTGTTGCACATCTTGGCATCTGTTGCACAGGGAATAGAGAAGTGCTCTTTGTGCTTGACTGCAGCTATTCCTCAAAAGTGAGCCTGCAGCTTGGGCACTGCGTTCTGGAGTCCAGAACCCCTTGTTGCAGCGTCAGTGCTGTTCTATATTCAGTGTTGCATATGCAGTCCACAAGAAACCATCCTTCCAAAATCAAAGCTGCAGGAAAGCAAATTTGGTGTTCCTTCCCAAGTAAGGTTTGCTTTCTTCTCCCTCTGGAGCTATGGCTCTGCTTCCTCTTAACTGACATGCCACTGGGCAGTACTGAATCAAAACAACTTTTTGCTGAGTTTTATTCACCTGCCAGTCACCTTATGCTTTGAGGTAGTCAGTCAGGTGCTGTGGTGATCTTGTGCCCTCTGGAGTAGGGTTTGTATCTGTCTCAGGGTGGCCATGGCTTAACCTGTAATGTTTCAGGGGATGTGCTGTAAGTTTTGGAAAGTGACTCTTGATTTCTAGATAAAATGAAGTAGGTTTGTAACAGAATGATCTGTCTGTACTGGAACTTATGTACTGGGAACATACAACTCAATTATAGTGATACATCTGATATTACCTTTTTATTAAAATAATGTCACTGTTTTTGTCACAAGTGAAGCATTTTGTTGTAGTTATTAGTCCTTCTCTTTGTGATGCATAACACTGTATTTTGCATTGTTGTGGACCTTGGACGGATCTTATGTGCAAATGCACAGTGTTTTATAGATGTGATTTGTGCAGCAGGTGTTTTCTGTGAGGGAGCACAGGTAAATTTAAGCGCTGTGTGTTGTACCTCCACCTCCCTTAAACAGAAGGAGGGCTTGGAGGGAATACAAGTAAGAGAGTGGCAGTGTTTTCTAACCGGCGACATGTGTTCATTGGCTCTAAATTGCATCTCTGCATGCTGTCAACATATCTTGGACTCTTTGCCTCTCCTCTTGTCACAAAACCACCAGGAGTCCGTATCTGTTATCCTGCTGCACCTCTAAAACCTGACTCTTAAACCAGAGCTGACAGCTGCTCCATCTGGTGTTGACCTCTGCTCATTCACATGAATATGCGCCGTGTTCCTCAAGAGCTGATGTAATCTGTCCAATAAATGCAGCTTAGCCTGGGGCCGTGGCGCACAGGGTTTGGGATTGAAACACACTCATCTGCCATGCGAACTGGGTAGTGCGACTCCCCATCCCACTTGTAAATTATGACTGAGCAGTGAGTGATGGAGAATACAGCTTAGCTGTTGAACAGCAGCCGAGTATTTTAACAAGATGCAATGGTTCCTGGATGCAGGATTGCCTTCTAGAAAACCTTTGTCTTTTATCAAGTACTTCCTGACATGCTCTCTGCCTTTAGCTGATGTGAGCAGCTTTGAGGTAGTGTCAAGCAGCACGGCCCTTGTGGCAGCCCTAAGGCAACAGTAAATGGTTGTGTATAGACAGTTAAGCATTAGAGGAAGGTTCTACGCTGTAGGTAGTGTGTGTATATGTGAAACTTAGTGTAAAGGTGATCTCAGCGAGTTGCCTTTTTAAGAGGTGGTTCGCCCCAGCCTAGGGATTGTCCAGTATATGTTCAAGCCAGACTAGCATTCCTCAGAGCACCCTGCAGGCTGTGGGGTGAATACTTCTAGTGTGGAATTACCCAAGTCATAGTTTTGATCATGGTCTTACCTGGTAGACAAACATCAGGAGAAACTCTCATTTTGATTAATTTTCTGATGAACTTTTGTTCTTTTGACAGCTGCCATTAACCTAGCAAAGCTGAAGCTCTTCAGACATTACTATGTTATGGTAAGTAAACAAAGAAACAAAACAACAACAACAAAAAACCTTGTCCTCATGCATACAGAGCACTTCAAAGCCATTCAAACCTTTAGATGGATTACTTCTTTGAAGCTGATGAATGGGGTAGAGATGCTCCTAGATCTGTGACAGTGCTGGACTTTGGCACCTTGGCCAACTGGGTTACAATCCTCAGAGCAACTTTCCTTCTTTTCCAAGCAGTTGCATCCCTCTATCTTTTAAATTGGCTCCAGCTATTTGTAATGCTTACTGATTTCCTCTGGAGACAGTTTGAGCTGCCAGTTGAATTGATGAGCTTGAATAACATACTGTAAACTTGCTAAACTAAACGTGGGACCAAATGGTGCCTTGAGATGCATGCGTGTAGATTCTGATTAAGTCAGTGGGAGCCATGAGCATACCTCCCAAGAGAGCATAGCCTTCTTAATGATTTCCAGCGGTCTCATTTCAGACTCTTATGAGTGTTAAGAGTAATAAATTACAGTACTGATTCTTCAGTTCTACAAAATCCTGACACTTAAAGCATTTTCCTGATGTAACTTATATTTGTTAGTAACAGCTTGAGTCATTTGGATGTTCAACAAGCTGCAGAGCCCTCAGCCCATATCTTCCATGTTTATCGAAGGAGCATAATAGGGCTAATTTGACATAATGAGTTGTCTGGGAACTGCTTCAGCTATTTTTCTGGAAAAAGAGGTTCAGTCAGGATGATGCTATTGTTCACACACATGCTTTCTCCTTTTTCTTCCCACAGATTGTGTGTTACATTTACTTCACACGGATCATTGCAATTCTCATAAAGATTGCTGTTCCATTCCAGTGGAAGTGGCTTTACCAGGTATTTGTCTGCAAAGGAAAATACATTTATTCCTTGACTTTTTTTCTTATTAATCTTTAAATATGATTGCACCAAAAAAATACATAATGGGTTCTTCATGTTATGGTAGAACATCTCAAAGCACAGTGCTTCACCCTGTTTTCTCCTGACTTTTATCACTGATTGCTCCTGGTGGCAGGAGTGTATTTTCAGTTTTATGTTTGCCCAGCAAGGCTGCTGGATTACACGTGAGATGTCTGAAAGTAATTGCATTATTGATCTTAGTCTTTAAAATTAAAAATATCTGAAGGAAATTAATCAAGAACGTACAAAAGAGGAAAAAAAAATTAGTCAGGTTTACCCTGTGTAATTGAGGCCCCAGGGAACCAGTGAAATAGGCTTTGGCTTTTCCCCTTACAGGCTTTATTTGCCTAGTGACTTTTTAAATACTTGGTTTCTTAACATATAATCCAAGTAACCATGCAGGGAGTCTTTGGAATACATGAACTGTTGAAAATACCAAACAACTTTGGGATACGTATTTTTTCCAATTTAAAAGCCAAATTTTGCTGTAGTTATTTAAAAGTACTGGAGTGATATCTAGAATTGTAACTGTATTTAGAGTGACAGGGAAAGCTGGAAGAACAAAGAGCTTGACAGCCTTTTGCCTGGGATTAATGATAACAGGACAGGAATTGCTTTTTTATTTCTGCTATGGCACAGGCTTCTTGGCCATAAAATCTTGAACCTTATGAATGAGAAGTGTTTCATGACCATGAAGGATTACAGGACTGAACTTAATCTTGTGTTTTTACTTACAGCTGCTGGATGAAATGGCCACACTTGTGTTCTTTGTCCTCACTGGGTACAAGTTCCGTCCAGCATCAGACAACCCATATCTACAGCTTTCTCAAGATGACGAGGATGATTTGCAGATGGAAGCTGTGTAAGAACCTACCTCTTTTACTTCTTAACTCGACCTGAGAAAACCAACGTTTATAAACAGTTTGTTCTGATCTCTAAGTCTTTGTTTGAAAAAAAGATTAAGTTCTGTATGCATATTTAAAGATGAGGTGTCTATTTGGTATGTGTTTAACTACCAAAGAGGCTTGTGATATGCCTAGGAATCCCTGAGCTGCATATTGCAGTAGAGCAGAATAAGCTGGTAAAGCATTTCATGGGGCAGGAAGATGCCCAGGGAAGTGCCAGGCTAAACAAATTAAACACAAACTGTGTTGCTGAACACCAACATGCCTTATAGATTGTCATTAACGCTGTATTACCAGTGTGTCTGAAAATAAATCTTCGTAGTTCAAAAAGCAACCACCAAACAAATCATAAAAATCAACTAGCAGTCTACTGACTATAAATGAGCATGATGTAAGGTCCCTTCTACCCCAGAGGTCAGCCTGTAGCTCTGCAAAAACTTAAGTAACGCTGAGCTGAGGAGACGGGGGTTTTAACAGTCCTTTTCACAGTTCACTTCTTAGCTGCTAAACCATGAGGCACCACAATGCAGCAGGACCTGAGTTAGTCTGGAGCAACTATAAAGTGAGACTCAGCCTAATCCCTGTCATTTCCTTTGCAGTGATTTTCTGAGGACTTCGTTTCAGAAATGCCATTCGTTTTCTATGATAGAAACTGCTTTAAGATGTGCAGCATGCTGGAAGTGTTGAACATAGTTATAATTGCTACACTCTGTGGCCTTGTAGGAGCAGAGCTACCCTAATCTCTTAGTAGTTATGCGTTTCATGCATAGCTGCAATTCATGTGCAGGCACAGAAGTCTATTCCTGACAGTTTCTTTCCAGTTCGGCAAATCTCCTTTACCTGATATTAAGTGAAATAAATCACTGCTCCTCCAATTTTTATTGCAGGGCCAAAAAAGTTGGAACATGTTTGCTGCCCTCATAGTTAGCTCAGGAAGAAATACAGCTTACTAGGGAATTGCTACAAGGATAGATGCATAAAGTGGAATCCAGCCTGAAATGTCATGCCAAGGACTTTAATTCTCAGAAATGTCTCCAGTAACAGATGTTCTTGCCAAATGCATAGTTATTTTTGCCTTGGGTTCATAAAAACCTCTTTGTTGAAAGATGAATTCAAGTGACCATAACATTACTTATCACTTAAAGGTGTTTCAATGGCTTATATAAGAAGCTGTTTTCGGTTTGGGTGCTGGTAAGCACACATCCTCATTAGGAAGGCAATATCTAAACTGGAAGATGTGGCAGGATTTGTGGTTGTTCAGAAATGAGCTCCTGCAAGATTACCTCTTAGACTGAAATTAACTTTGCATTGTGTACTTAATGAGTTTTTACTTGTTTGTGTTTCTGTTAGGCCTAATAATAAAGCATTTCTCACATGTAGTGATTTCACTGGACTGGAGAAGCTGCTCAATTTTAGAGGCTCTGCCAGGAAAAAGCCTTAAAGTTTAATGAACTAATCGAGTGATTTACATCTTGCAGCAGTGATACAGACATTGCTAGAAACTCGAGGATCAGAGTTCTTTGTGAGCCTCTTCCTAGTAAGGCATTTTGGTCCTTGCCTTGGGAGTTTCCATTGTTGTGCCTTGTGGGTTGTTCCCCTTAGCCTTGCTGGATTTTTTCTAGTCTGATTCACTATGAGTTTTATTCCATGTGGGCACTTGGCAGAGGATAATTTCTAAGCGTCTTGTTTTCTGTTCCCTAGCTGCATCAGGGAGGTTAAGCTTACACATTTCAGAAGCATGATATGTACACATTCTGTGATAGGTGAAGCACTACAATGCAAAGTTTCTTCTTGATTTGATCTTGTAGTCCTGTTTTTGCTTTTATAAGTATTAAATGTTGTTTCTATAGGGAAAAATATCAAGGTTTATTCAAGCAAGTGACTAAGTGTCTGACAGCATCCTGACTAACCATTGTATGAGTGTTTTGTCTTTCATGTGATAAATATCCACTTGTCTTCAGATGCTGTGGCAGAAGAGTTGAAAGGTTGCAAAAATCATGGTGTTCTTCCATGTCTTATTTCCAGGCTTTAAGGTGGTTTTCCTTTCTAAAAGGGTTTTTATTTATCTTTCTTAAAGGGAAAAAAAAATCTTGCTGCAAAAGCATTCAGTGTCTTTAGGCTCAACATTTCCTTGAGAGGGGAGAGCTGTATGATCAGCAAGTCTATTTTCCAGGCTTGCTTGTCTTCCAGCAAGAAAAATAGGATGCTTGAAGTGCAGCTCTCTAGTGTATGCCTGTTTTCTTGCAATGCAAACTACACAAATCTCTGTGTGGCAATAAATGTAAATATTGCTAAGGACAGTGTGGCAATCTGCAGAGCTTAAAGAAAAATCCAAAGTCTAGGTGTCTGACAGAAGCAACGTGAGGCACAAATCCTCCCTCTGTAGACTGTTGCAATTCTCAAAAAAAAATATTCTTTGAATCACGAACAGTGAAGGTGACTTGTAATAAGCTTGTAAAGCTACTTTTTTTTTTTTTCAGCTAACACACCCCTGCCTTGAGAGAAAGCATCCACAAATTTTTAAGACTGGTTTCAATTATACCAGACTCCATAGAAGTTGCCCTGGTGGAGAGGAGAGGATGACTAAACCTGAACTAAGGACCAGCCTGTTCTTTTTCAAGTAGGGTCAATAGCCATTCATCTTCAACAAAGTGGCTCTCTGTGCATTCTGTGCGGGGCAGCTTCTTTAGGCTGTTCTGTCAGTATGTGGGCCTGTTGCTGACAGTTTGTTAGATTAAAGTACTCTCTTTGAAAAGGTGCAGCCACACTTGGCAGAAAGAGCTGTCAGGCTTCCAGTCCTCATGCCATTTCTGGGGCACGAACACAAATGTAAACGGTGCATTAGATGAGGGGTGAGGAAGGGCAGAGGAAGCAGGTTTGTTTTTTTTTTTTTTTACTCTTGCAGTAAGTTATTTCATTAGCTCAGTAAGCATTGCTTTAGAGGAGCTCCTCTACAGATCTGGGTTGAAATCGTGCTCATAAATGCATGTGGGGTTAAGATACTTACGCGGGAGGAAGAATTTCAGGAAAAAACATTAACGGCTTTGTTCTTAACTCAGTAAATCCGTTTTACTGAATGTTTGGAGACTGACTTTGTGTTTACTTAACACCACAAACAACCTCAACATAGTGAACTGCTGTGGTAATGCTGACCTACCTTTGCTTATACCTCGGGATCTGGAGTTTCTTGCTGTGTCATGAGGCAGCCTATTCTGCGCTGAAAGTCCTGGCTGGCTGCTTTTCTCTGCTCTCTCTCTCAGGTTGTGCTTCACAGCAGGCTGATTCATGAGGCTCTTCATTGGAAGTGATTTTCTTTCTCTGTGACAGCTACAGAAGTCCTCTCTGGAGAGCTGGTTTAGTGTGAAGGATTTGTTGCATTTCAGCTACAACTGATCTGATCTAGAAATGCAGCTCAGCATTTCAGTTCAGCTGAGGAATGTTTACTTGCAGTGTTGCAGGTCAGAGCTCAAGTTCAGAGACTGCCCAGGGCATTAGTCTGAGAATTGCAGTGTTCTTGATCTTGGTGCTGCTGCCCTTATTTTACTGGGCATTAAAACATGTTGACTGAAATAATGTTGAGAGGGAAGAGAATCTCCCATTGTACATGAGCAGGCTGAGGAATGAGGCCTTAAGGGTTACGCTGATCACTTGAGACAAGAATAGCACTAATCAGACTGGCAGTCCTTAATTTTCACTGAGGAATTTACCCCACCCACCTCCCAACATCTCTTGCAGTTCTGTGCTATCATTGCACGGGGGTGCAGGAAACAAATAGCAGGACTTTACCTGGCTGCAATTTCAGTATGTATCTGTTTGTCCTCTCCCCCCATGAACGTAGAAAATGGATCTTTCCCTTTGAGCTGTAACCTCTGATCATCTTTGTTATCTTCGTGATGTATAATGGGTTGTAATTGCATTCAAGTACTGTGCTAAAATCTAGACTCTGTGCCCGGTGGGATCTTCCTAGATGTGAGTCAAGTGTTAGCACTACTTTGGTGTCAAGCATGTGCAAAGCACCTATTTATATATCCTAGTGGGATCACCATTGTATATATCCTTGTTGGATTGCTGTGGTAGTGCCTCTTTTTTTTTTTTTGGTTTGTAGTTCATTATAATTTTAAACTCATCCCTGAAGAATTGATACTCAGCTCCTTACTCTGTAGTTATGAAGTCAGTTATTTCTGAAGAGTAAACTTTATAGTTGTTTTCCTCCATTCTCCTATAATTTTCAGACCATTACTTCAATTTGCCAGAACCTTTCTGCATTCTAGTCCTGTTCTCAAATATGTAGCTCTTAGTGTCTTCTGCAGATTTAATAAGCAAGTTCTCTATTCCATTACCCAGGCAATTACTGAAGATATTGAGTAGAAGTGAACCCAGGACAGACCTCTCTGGAACCACACTCAATGTTCTTTCATTTTTGACAGGAAACCATTAAGTTCATCTCAATGCATGCTTTTCCAATTAGTTATGCATCTACACTGATAGATCCTTCTAGCTCATGTTTCCCCATTTTTTTTTTTACTATGAGGCTGTGGGAAAACCACTGTCAACAGGGAGAACTTGAGATCTCTATGCTTTCTGTGATGAAAAGCTTGGTGTGATCTCTTCCAGGTGAACGTTTACTAATTCTGTCTTTCTTGTTTAAGCAACCTGCTTGCTTAATCTCCCTGGTTTTTATTTCAATAGGGAATAAAGTTGGTAGTTGATCTGTGCTCTTCTGGCCCTTTCTGTTCCCTTGAACACAGGATTATCTAGGCCCACTCTAAAGCATCTTAACCGCTGATGATCCCAATTCTGCCCCTGCTAGAGAATGCCAGAATGTACTAGTTTTTGTTTGGGTAAATTATTCTTAGAGAGTGCATGAACAGAAGCTGATATCTAATGTGGGACCAAGGGTGGTATCAGAGGAGTGTATCTGAAGATTACTTCTCTTGGGTGATACTGTGAAAATGCTGTTAGCAAGCCTGATCAAATATTCTTACATGGTAAACAGCACGGTGAAAGCAGACACAGACTGACAGCGGCGACATCGAACAGGATGGTTTTATGTATGCTTCCAGGCATCCCTTGTGAATGCATTGAACCGTTGCTACTCTTACTTCCAGCATCTAAAATAACCTTTGCAGCACACTTGTAGGAAAAATTACCTGGGTGGAATCAGAATCATATCGTGCAAAAGAACAGAGCATATGTCTGGTGCATGTGAATAGCCTGTGTTGTGTAGCGAGGGAGAAAGGTACAGGACTGAAGAGCTTGTTGGAAAGCCAAGGTGGTTGTAAGAGTAGTGGTGCTGTTGTAGCTGGATAAACAGATCAGTCTGCCTAGTGTTTGAACAGCATTATGAGGCTTTGTAGTTCAGTGGTCAGATTGCCACGTCAAAGCCAGGCTTGGATTGGTATAAATGGGATGACCTCTCTTCTGTTTTGTTGCTGTTCATTGAGTAATTTTGCTATTACCAGGAGTGCATTAAGCTAATAATGTTCACTTGGGGCAGTATCCACAGCTTGTGCATTTGTATAAGACGTTGTACTTGTTAAAAGCACTGCAAATGCAGCAGCAAGTCTAATGGACAGAGTTAAGGGTGCTCAGCTATAGGGTGAAAAGTTTCTAAGCAAGCTGCTGAAACTTAATGTGATACCAGCTGGTTATTTACTAAACAACCTCATACTTTTTCGAGTAGGAGCAAATATTATAATGCTTATTCCATTGCAGTGCCTCTGATACTGTTTTGATACAGCTTTCCCTACATTAGAGAGGGAAACTAAATAATGTGGTTTCAGCTGAGTGCAGTTTAGACCTTGTCTATTACCAGTCCATCGTGATTTTATCTCCTCCACCACAAGAAGCAGCTTTAACTAAGGAGCTGCACTCATTTGTACTGATACAAGTGTCTTAAACGTTTGTTTCTGATGTTACATACTGTTCTTGCTCTGATCCTTCTCTGCAGTCTGCTACTTTGGTTTTCTTTGATCTATTGGGTTGGTTGAGGAATGCTCCTTCAGGAGGTAAAAGCAGTGTAGATGGGACTGTGGCATGGTTCCTGTTGGCACACAGATCCATAAGCATGAACCTTTTTTTCTAAAGCATGCTGTAGTTTATTTTGATCTGAATCCTATAAAGCACAAATGGATAAACAATCTTTATGATAACACTGCAACTAAGTCAGCTGGCCTCAGTGGTAGTTCTTCCTGTCTAGACAGCTATAGCAGATCCTGGCACACCAAGGCTGTCGGGACTTCTGTGTTTCCCATTGCCAAGCACAAAGGATTGGCCCTCTCTCAATGCTGTGACACCTGGTCTGAACAGGAAACTGTGAGCCAGCCTACATATGTCTGTTCTAGTTTAGTGACAGATGAGGAGAGTCTTGAGGACAGCAGCGTTGCTCCCAACACCCATCAGTGGCGTGTTCAAGATGATACCTGGTCTGCAAAATGGTAGCAATAGGAAAGGCAGAACATCAAGACTGGTAAAGAGTCACTTGGGACAAATGTTGTTTGATATGTGCAGGAAAAGCATGGGCTGTTGGCAAAATGGGTGTTGGAGTTCAAATTCTGACGTTGTTTCCTTCTTTTCCAGGGTGACGACTTCTGGAGTGATGGAGGGCATGAAGAAGGTCAAGAAAGTGGTAAATGGTTCAGCAGAGCCACGGGGCGACTGGGAAAACATGGCATGATGGACTGGACTAAGGCAGCACTTTTGCAGAAACTTTTTTAATTTATTAATATTACTCAGTGGAAAGGGAGCAACTAGCACTTCCCAACACTGAAACTGCAGAGTGGGGTGTGTCTAGGGGGAGCAAAGCAGTGCAGAAATCTAACTATTCCTCTGATCATAAGAAAATGGGATCTCTTGGTACCTGCAAGGAGTGTGAAGCTTTCCTTGGGATTTTGGGTAGCTTATTCTTTTTTCCCCTTTCTGGATCAGTTAGGTATTCTGAATTGTTTGCGGTTGCGTTCTTCAGAATGTGTAATTTTAACGTGAAGAGAGACCTTTAGTGTGTATGTAAAGTATATATTTTATATAATGTGCATATATATATATATACACACGCTATGTAATGTATGCTGGGAAATGCAAAGTATCACAGAAGGTGGGGAAAAGAAGAAAAGAGGTGTAAGTATTTTTTTTTTTTTTTAACTCTTCTTTTGGCTTGGACAAAATATAGCGAAACAAATGAGTAGAAATAACTGCAGTTATTTGACAGACTAAATGGGGTATTGGATCTGATGAATTCCACCAGTACTCACATCAGTGGGAACACTGAGAAATGTTTTCTCTTATTCCGGCAGGCTTCCATTTGAACACATCAGGTTTTCAGATGTATTGGTGTATAGGAAGCAAGCAACTGGTTTCATTAAAAACACCAGCCTGTAGCACAACAAGCATTAATGTAAATTCTCCACTGTCAATTGGGTTGCTCTTGATTCGTGCCCACCTGACAAGTACACAAGAGGTGTAGGACTGGGGCTTACTTTTTAGGGGTCTGCCATGCAGTCTTAAATGTTGAATTTTAAGCTGTGATCAAAAGTACTTTGATCTGCATTCTAAAATATTTTCAAGGTATTTCAAAAGAGACTCCTTCCTGGCACCGTGTAACCAGTACCAGGATCTGTCCAGCAAATGTACTGCAGCATGAATCTCTGGCTCACCATTATCCTGAGCTGCTTTGCCTCTCCAGATGGCGACTGGTACCTCTCTGGCTATGTAGTGATAGAACTATTTAAGGTGAGCTGAACTGGTCAAAACGGTATTGCTGTGAAAACCAGGCAAGTGCAACTCCCAGTCATGAATTTGTTTTTCCTGAGGAAAGGAGAGGGTTATGGCCAGAACGTTCAATGCCTGGGAGTACAGAAGTCTTATCTATCAGCTGCAAATCTGCAGTGGAGTCTAAACTTAGAGACACGTTACAAATGCAGTGTGTTATCTCTAGTGCTCTGGGTATCGTTAGAAAGGCGAGTCAGTGCCTGTAGCTGTAGTAGTAGGGCATAGTGATGGATTGTTAATTTGTGGGAGGACAGAAGTGGTTCACGGATGTAACGGGAATAAGCTTTAAGAAAAATAAATCAAGTATAACTCGCTGACCTAATGAAGCCTTAATCTTCATGTGGAGGTATTAGGCATACAGGGACAGGGACAAGCATCATCACAGAGCTTCAGATGTGCCAAGATGTCTTACAAACACTTTTAGGAGATTTTTTTTGACTAAGGGGACTGCATCTCTAGGGCACAGCTGATTAAAGGACTACAGCAAGATTTTTTTATTCCTTAAGTTTAGAAGTGGGTGAGGGATTTTTTTTTTTTGTATTGCAGGGTTGTTTTTTGTTTGAAATGTTGAACCACTTTCTCAGTCTTGAACACAGATTGTAGAGCTTTTAACAAGCGAGCACTCTGTACCAAGACTTGCCGTTTGAAGAGCAGCGTTGTTTTCTCCAGTTGCAGCTTCTTTTCCCTGGTATTGATTCTATTCATCATCGAAGTGGTAGAAATGAATCTACCTGCTTTGATACCTGGAACGGGCTTTTCTTCAGATAAAGCAAAAGAATAACCCTCTTATCTTGGTGCAGAGTCCTCTTCTATATTTTTCTCCTCAGCTGTAACTGCACAGTAATTGCAGCAGTGCTGGTTTGACTTTTGCTGTCGCTGTCTTGCGAAGATAAAGTTTTAGTGAAAACAGAGGCTATGCCGCTAGAAAGGCTCGTACATCATGTAACACCCTTTTAGACCTTCAGTAGGAGAAATTCTTTTGCATATTAAGTAGCTGAGGTGTGAGAAATTAAAACGATAAACAAACACAGGCAGCCCCAGCACATCATACAGTTAAATACGATAGCTGAAAAAGCGATCCTCTCCTCTGCACAGTTATTCTGTCCCTGGGGAAGTGTCACTGTTTGCTCCCAAAGGGCTACTCAAACAGGCTGTAAATTTCGCCCGGAGTAGTCCAGGAGACCTGAAGTCTGTCAGCACTGAGGTATGTGAGGATTTGCTGTCAGGAACAGAAGTGCAATAACACATTGTTAATCCAGACACAATGCTGTCTTAGAACCTCCTAATGCCTTTTGTGGATGGACTGGGGAATTCTGATGGGTGTGATTCACTCCAAAACACCGGCGGCTGTGTTGGGGTCCCAGCATGGGCCAAGCTGGTTCCAAACAGCTGTCGGTTCCGTACCTCAGCATCAGTGAAGCCGCTGATAGGACAAATGCTTTTACCTTAGTCTCAGGTTTCTTTATGTGCACTTTTCTGCTAACGTTGCATAAAGCGTAGATGTGTCTGCCAAGACCCTGCCTTCCTAGTCAGAGGCCAAGAAATGGGTGACTTTGTCTTGGCGTGAAAAGCTATGGCAGGACTCTGCGAGTGTTCTCAGAAGAGCTGTTTCAGAAGTTCACTTTCTGAGCCTCAGCAACCAGCTACACAACCAACTTCAGCTGGCACTTCATGCAGGGCGCTAGCCAGCAGTACCACACTGACTTGTCAGACCTATGCATTAATAAAGAAATGTGGATATACAAGTAAAAAAAAAAAAGTATATTTTCCTACTGCAGCCGTGTCCAAAGTGAATTTCCACTTTATAGCGTAGAAGTCCTCAGAGCAGGTAGAAAAATTTCCCTTGTGAGGTTGCGTGTTGGATTGGACGGCAGCTGGGATGTTGAAGGATGGGGAGGGTGGCTGCAGCTGAGCTTCGTGCACAGTGTGTGCTGTGCCACAAAGCATCGACGGGAGGACTGCTCCTTTCCCCTTCCTCCCGAGGCAAACCCAGACCTGCACGAGTGGCAAGAGCATGACTCCTGCTAGTGAAGAGCAGCAGCTCGCCAGGCGGGATAATCGCAGTGGTTGCCTTTGCCATGCTGCCTGCTGTCGCGCTGGTAGGAAGACACAGCCTTTCCCTTTATTTCACAGGGAGGGAAAGTGGAAGAGCTGCTTGTGGCTGTGCAGATCGTTCTGGGATGCAGCCTTACTTTCTTGTCTGCCTCCTACGGAAGCGAGCAGCCAAAACAATCACTGGGTATACGGCAGGGTAGCTGAGAGGAGCCCTGGGAAGGGAGGTCTGGCGCAGCACTGAGTAAATGGCAGCGAATGCATTCACATATGTTGCTGCTGTGGAGTGCTCGGCACCCTCTGCAGAGAAAAAAGATTGGCTCATTCTCCAATTGTAATGCAGCTTATGCCCCAATAAATCCCTATTGACGATGGCACACAAACGCCACTGCTGGACTCCTCCTTACTGCTGTGACTGTTCAGCAAGCTGTCTTCCATAGGAAACCTTGCAGTGCAGCTGCCAGCCTCTTGCATTCTTCAGACTTGAAAATATTTTCCTTGATGGTTCATCAAGAGACACGTTAAAAGATAGGAAGACATAATGGGGTCATCTGGAACGTTGCTGCTGCTTCCTGAAAACGTAGCAGTTCTAGCTGAAGAAGCCACATGCTGTCCTATTAAGATGCTCTTTAATGTTGTCATCTAACTCAGCATGTCGTGATCTGCGCAGTGCATTGTTCGCTGTTTCTCTCCATCTGACTGCCCTGTCCCTGGATTTCCATGCTGGCATACCCTGGGAGCATGTTGTAAAAATTTGCTGCATTGCAGTATTTTGTCTTCGAGCTAGTAAGGTAGGAGATGTATTTTCCTAAACTAGGTGGACTCTGTAGCGTGAGTGTGCATCCACCAAATGTTAAGTGCTGTAACGTTCCTGCTGGCCACGAAAAGGGCACATCCTAACCACTCCAGTGTGCACACTTGGTGAAAGTCCAGCAGAAGGCTTTTAATGTGTTAACTCTTCTTTTTCCTTACGGTACTCTTCTCGTGAAGAGGAGAAATGCAGGCTGAACAGTGGTGATCAAATGGACAAAGTGTGTGTCTATTTGAAAATTGCCTGGCTGCATTAGAAGCAAATACTGGGTATTTGTAGGGTTCTGTTGAGCTCTATGAGAACTGAAGTTGCTTAGCTCTTACAAAATCAGGTAAAAGCGCAGGTATTGAAGGAAACACTTGCTCCTTCAGTCTGCCTCCTTTGTCTCCTTCAGTTTGACCTGTAACAATAGCTAACAGACTCCTGTTACTTTAAAGCAAATGTATTGATTCTGCGTTGTGACCTCCATCTCAATCATACGTTGTTTCCCCGTTCTTCACTTCTGTAAAAAGCATGGAGACGCGGTCTGCAGTAGGTGGAAGGCACAGTGGTTTGTGAAACGTAACTGGACTTCTGCTGCCAAAAACCTGTGACCTTGTGTGTAACTTCAGCAACCCAAATGTTGCACGAAAGCCGAGGCGGTGCTCCCCAGAGGCACTTGACCACTGTTCCCGTGCTCCCTGGGGCTGATTGCTAAATCAGTTTAATCTGGCTTCCCTTGTAGCCGCTGGGTGTGATGCTGTTAGGCTTATTAATCATTTAGTAATATAGAAAGCTGTGCTTTTTTTTTTTTCCCCTCCCCCGTGTAGTTTGCTTGGAAATAGCAATGATCCTGTAAGAACTCTGCATGGTATGTACTTGCAAGTGGCTGGAACAGGATTTCAGAAAAATACTGAGATGCTACACTTGTTGGAAGTGATGGTACAAGAAGAAAGTGGCCGAGGAAAAGAGTCACTCCTTGTAGGTTGACTGGTTGAAGAACCCATTTATGTTTTGACTGCAGCAATCCTGTAGAAAGGACAATTCTTAATAAATATTTTCCTGTGGGATTTCGCTTGGTGTTCTGCTTTCTGTGTAATAAAGGAGAGCCTGACCCCCACGCTGTCCGAAGCACCTCCTCTTGTAGCTAGGATACTGGCGTGTTGGGCTGGTACCTGCTCCATCAAAACAGAGGATGGGCCTAAATGGCCTCCCTTTCCCTTCAGTACCTATTAATAATTAATTCCAGATCCTCTTGTATCATTAAGCAGCTTTAGGGCACCTTGTACAACGTAGCTCTGAATTCATTTAGTAAATGATCTCCAAAAGAGCTCAAAGACTCTCCTGTACAGCAAGGTCCTCTTTCAGGGGTTTTGGTGACCAGTAACTATCCTGTTCTTCAGTTCATGTTTGGATGTGTAAGTAACTTTTTTTTTTCAGTATTTTTTTAAGCTTTATTAAAAGAACAGCAAACAGTATTTGGAGAGAAGCAAGACAGATACAAATCAGGATGGTCTGTGCAACTTGGCTTCCCTGCTGTGATTCAAATGTATAAAATAAAGATTGAATGACTAGAAAGTTTTAATGCATCTTGTTTTCTGCTTCTGAACTGCCAGTAACCAAGCTGACCTTTGGTTTTGAAGTCCTTATTTTCCCCTTGCCTGATATCCCCTTGCAGCCATTAACATCGTTGTGGGTACAGGGGCCAAATCACAAAAATCAGCTGCATACCCCTGATCTTTGAGAGAAGCCTTTTGGCTTTGTAAGGTGAACTTCAGCAGCGTTTCTGTGGTCTGAGGCTCCAATGAATGAAGTGTTTCTCCTAGCCCTGCAGTCTGGGCCAGGCAGGAAGGCAGACGCAGCCAGGACTCGCTGCTGCCAGCCAGCATCGGGGGCTCCTTGTGCCACAGGGCTCGGTGTCAGCCTGCTGGGCAAGGGATGACACAAAGCTGGTGCTCTGAACCTTGGGACCAAAGGCAAATTACCAAAAATACAGGTTTCTACCCATAATAACCTTGTGGATCCAGTGCGATTATCTCCGTGGAAGTACTGCCTTAAAGAAAGGAGCAGGTTTGATTTTAGGCTAGGCTGAGGGTGTGTGGGGACTTCTGTAGCTCTCTTCGTGAGATGCCAGGGTCTGAGCGTGGATTTTGGGTTGGCAGGGACGAGGAGGGCAGCGTATTTCCATAAAGTGCTCTCCCTGCCGATCCACCCCCTGCCTCAAAAGCATATGGCCTTCGTCACCGAATGTAGGTCTTCAGAAGGCTTTGCAGTTTATCCTATAGTTCCCAAGCTACCACCGAGGGGTAGTGCCAGAAATAGACGGTGTTCTCTCCCCTGCAAATCCCGAGCAGCCGTTTGTGCGTCGCCTGGAGCTTTTGGGTGGGTGGTGTTTTGCTGGGGAGCGAAACTGTAAAAAGTACACGGGTTTGGGACTTAATAGCCTGCTGCAGAATAAAACAAACTGCATGCAGGTACTTCTTGGGGGTTTGCTTTCTCCCAGCTGCACGTCCTCTGCTTTTTTTTTTTGTCTGTTATGTATTTGACCTTAAAACATCTCCCCCTAAAGTGGCAGCAAGCTCATGGCTGATGTACCATACGGGGCTCCAGGGGAGCTGGTTGTACTGGACCAAAACCAGTTCAGCTGTAATGGAAGGGTATGCCAAGCGGGACTGAATCGTGAAAAGACTTGAGCTTGAGACCAAGCGTGGGTTATGTGTGAAAAATCTTGATTTCTGCCCGTCCTCTTGGTGGGAGGCGAGCCCGAACGGTGACAGCTCGGTGAGGTTCGGGCTGGAGGAACTGCACAGGGGCGAGGATGAACAAGAGCCCTGACAAAGCTTCTCTGAGCCTGCCGTGTTTGAGTGCACGTCTGTGGGTGTCCAGACCAGAGGTAAATGGTTCTACCTGCTCTGAGCATTTTCTTTCAGCATCTGAAATTCTGAGCTGTCTTGATCGCGTGCAGCTCCTCCTTGCAGGACAGGGTGCCCGCTGTCAGCGCTCACGCTCTACCAAGAGGATCTTCATGACTGCGAAGACCTGCCTTCTCCTTAAACCTTGCTTTTCCCTTCGTTTGCCTTCTGACTGACAGCCTCTAACGAGCAGGAGGGCGTGGTGGTGCCCTGGGTAGCGAATGGTCAATAAAACCAAATTGCTTCGAACAGCGAGGTAATAACAGAGCTGGCGTTGGCACAGCTGCTCCTGATCCTGGGGTCCTCAGGCAGGAGCCGAAGGATTTCGTGTGCCTGAAATAACAGGAGCTGCACGTTCAGGAGCTGCACGTTCTCCATTTCTTCTCTCCAGTCCCATTCGTGGCAAATAACGGGACTGGGGTTGGTGCTGCTTTCTTGTGGCTGCTTCCCCCCCGTAGAATATTTCTAGAGGGATGGCTGAGACGCAGTGCATCGGATGTCTCTTGTATTGCCAAATAAAATGAACAGGAATGCCGGGGGGGCTGTTAGGGTGGTGTTCGGTGGTGTAGGTGAGCACCAAAATGGAGCGGAGAGCTTAGGGCTCACTGCTCCCTCTTGGGATGATTGCACCGAGCTTGGCAAGAGACCTCCAGCATCCTCGCTGGGAGGAGCTGTTAAACAACATGGGGCTTCTGCACCAAGGGGAAATACAAGATTTTATTTTATTTTTTTCCCCGGGAAGACTCCTATAAGATCTCCTATACCATCTGCGGTCTCAAGCCATTTTTGTAGGGCAGCACAACAGCCCGCTGGCGGTCTGGCACCCTACAAACCCAGGTGGGGGGGGACTGTTGGTGCCTCGGGTGCTGCCTGGCTGAAAAATGCCTCTCCCGTGGAGCTGCTCTGGATGCTTTGTTCCCTGGGAGCTCTGGGAAGCGGGGAGGAATCCCCCACCTGGCTCAGCTCTTATCCAAGGTATTGATCCGCAGCTCCCGGGAGGAGCCAAACTTCCCCCTTTGGGGATGGATCTCATACTGGGAGGTGTTGGCCAGACTGGAGGGACTACAAAGGATGGCTGCAGTGGCCGAGATTTGGGAGCTGGGCGACGACAGAAGATTACAGGGGTTAAGGTGATTAAAGATGAGCAGTGCTGCGCAAAACGCCCGCACGGGGGGAGCCGCGGAAACGGGCTGGGGACTCATTAGTGGGGCCCGAGGTGGAGAGGTGAGAAGGAACAAAAGCAGAGGGGGAAAAAAAGCTGGCGGGAGAAGCCTCCTGCCACGGAGATGGGTTTTGCTGCAGTCTTCCCCAGAGAAATGGAGGAGGTTGTGCGTTGTTCCCGATAATGAACAGCGGACTGGGCAGACCCCTCCTAAATACACTGCGGGGAGCAATCCCTTATCAGCCGCGAGCGGGACTAAATGCCCGACTTGGTCTTTCTCCATTTGCTTATCTCGGTGGGAAGCACGTTGCCTGCCTAATTGCTGGCGTGGAGGCTCCTTTTTTTTTTTTTTTCTTGTTTCACCATTAAACCTTGCGCATACCTGGAGCGAGCTGGGCTGCTGCCTGGCAGGGCCCCTCTCCAGCGAGGCTGGGAAACGCGCTCCCTCATCTGTATTCCCGGGAAGTCTTGGTTTCAGCTGCTGCTGCAGAAGCTGAGCAGAAATATATCTGCTGGGATTCGCCAGCCCCACGGTGCCCCTGCGGAACCGTGAATCAGAGCAGCCTTGTGGGAGGCAGCCGCACAACCTCTTACGGCGATGAAATCTGAAAAATAGGTACAAGAGGATTTTTGCATGTTCAATTTTTTTTTTTTTTAATTCAGCTATAGCAGGTTGGGGTTTGGGTGGACAGAAATAGCTGGAGAGCGCTGCTTGCTTACCAAGCTTGCTCAAAAAGCTCCTTTCTTGCGTTAAAAGCAGCTGAGGGGAGCAGTGCCCGGCGCTGCCCTGCTCCTGGGGCTGTGCTGCAGCAGGGCCACCACCACATGCGGGGTGCAGCACCACGGGCAGGCTTCCTGCACCAAAAAGCTGATGGTTGAACACGACTCACAGGTAATCTCAGAAATCGGCTGCCTTCCTCCTGCCTCGTGGAGCGAAAACCACCACAACCGCTCGTGGCGAGTGCCCTCCGCTGAGAATTGAATGGACGGCCACCGAGCTGCCCTCAGAGCAGGGATGGAGGCAGGAAAGCAGCTCCCCTATTTTGAAGGCACTGATGTATTCCTAAAAATAAAAGCTTTAGGTCTCAGCCTTGCCGTTTATAGGGATGCTTCTCAGATTTTTATTTTTATTTTTGGGAAAAGCATCCGTTGGAGCAGGGCATTAGAATTGTTGCGTGGTGCCCAAGTAACCTCGCGCCCAGGGTGGTGAGGCAGCCTCTCCAACCCCTCTTCCAGCCCCAGGGGTGCTGGTGGCAGCTGTGGGGGTGTCTTGGGGTGTCCTGGGTGCAAGAAGCTGCTGCTCCCCGTGCAGCTGGCATCCTCCCTGGTGCAGGCACCGCTGCGCAGCGCTTGCCGGGCCGGTGGCACAAGGAACCTTTCCTTTTCTGTTCCCCACCAAGGCGCTGCCTGCTTCCAGTAGCGAGCGGCGTTTGAAGGCTCCGGGAGGCTGGGCTGCAGCTCCTGCACTGCGGGAAGGGAAGAGAAAAGAAGAGAAGGTGTTTTCCCAGGTGCCAGCTGGGATTCGTGATGTGCCACCAGGGAGGATCGCCGAGCCGCTGCCTCCTGCTTGGCTTTGTCTCAGCCAAACGCTGGGCGCTGCCACTGACAGGCTCCCGCTGCCACCCCGTGCGGGTTCCCACGGTAGCATAACAATGACAGCCCCGGAGGCTGCGAAGAGAACAGTCTTAAAAAAAAAATATTAAAAAAAAAGAATTTAGCAGAGAAATGAATAGCGTGGCCAATTGTAACGCTCAGCGCATCGGCTGCGCATCAGTCCTGCGGCTGTGGGGCCACCTTCCCCGGTGCCTGGCTGGAGTTTCACCATCAGCAACTCGGTTTCCTTGGGAGAAGAACCCGCAGGCGCTGCTGCTGAACATCCAGGACCGGGCACTCAGTGTTTGATGTGCCCGTGGTGAAACCAGGGCAAAGCAGCAGCAGCAGCAGTCGCACGTTTGTAAAGCCTAAAAGAGCTTCGGGAACCTCCTGGTTGGGAAACTTGAAGCTTTAGAGCCCCGTTTGGGTCTTCCCGCAGCCCCCTTGCCATGAAACCACACTCGTGAGCACAATTATTGCCATCCGAGCCCAGGGGGACACCGGGGGAGGCGAGGATGTGCCCGGGCCCAGCTGCCTCGTTCCTGCCTCCTTGTCTCCCGGCTGTGGCACCAGGAAACTGAACTCATTCCGCTGGAATTTTTTCAACTCCAAAGCAACTATTTCAGCGGCTCTCTGTGCCAGCAGTGACCACAGCTCGTCTGGTGGAGCGGCCAGCGCTGACGCCGATGATTTCTTTTCCCTTTTTTTTTTTTTTTTTTTCTGACTCACGATCATTAAGCATTAACCTTAAAATAGCCGCTCTTTTGGCGGTTGATATAATTAACCTCGCGCGTGCGTTCCTCCCCCATCCCTAGGCTTTGAGACTTCGCTGCCGCCCGACTCCCTGAGTTTTCAGGCCCGGCGGAATTTGGCTTTTCCCCAGGAATCACAGCATGGGCTGTGCGCTCTGCTCGCCGAGTTCATGGCCTGGCACAGGCTGCCTGCCGCTGCCCTCTCCAGCACCAGGCTCCCTGGGGTACCCTCTGCCCCAATTCCCATCTCAATGCGCCTTTGGCCAAGCTCTGGGCACGTTCGGCTGGGCAGCTTGGTTTGTGCCTGATTTCAAAGCCACCAGCCCCAGGAGCCTTTCTGGGCCGGGGCTGCGTTCCCCTGGCTGTGGAAATGTCACTGCATCCCGGGAAATGCCACCGGTGGTGTTATTGAAGCAATAGCAGGGTTAAAGCTAATAATTAGGGAGAGAAAGTGACGGGCCTGCACAGTTCCTGATGACTCTTCTCTGCGAGATCCGAGCTCTCTATTCAGTGTTCTCAGCGGTGGAGACAGGGCAGAGTTTTAAATAGCATTAAATCCCTGTAACATCAGGTTTGCATCAGCAGGGCTTGTACCAGGAGGCCTGCGCAGCACGGGGAGGGTGTGGGACGTCTGCTGGGGGTGTTCATACAGCACCACGACCACAGCTCGGGGAGAAATTGGAAAAATGGGCGATTTGCTGGAAGGAAGGGGTCACACAGGGCATTTGCAGCAGCTCTGGGGGCCAAATAAAAATCTGACGGGGTTGATGCACGAGTGGCAGGCGGGCTTTTGTCCCTAAAAGCCACCCACACCCCACCAGCAGCTGCCAGGGGTGCTGGCGGGCGGCACAACCCTCGCTGCCTCCTTGCAGCTGGGCGCAGCGGATCCTGCATGGCTCCTGGAGGATCCTGCATCACTCCTGGAGGATCCTGCACCGTTCCTGCTCGCAGCAGGGCACAGCCAGAGCTCACCCCCCGGGCACACGGCTGCTGGGGGCCCCAGCTGGGCCGTGGCACTGAGGGAGGTGTTTTTTTTTTTTTTTCCTCCTCTGCCTTAACTAGCTCGGTTTTGGAAGGCAGGATCCTGGAGGATTATGTGTTTTGGAAACATCTACCTGGGGAATGTATCCCTGGATATCTGAGCGGCAGGCAACCCTTGGCTGGTTTAAGGGGAAAAAAAACACAAAAAAGTGCAGAGCCAATGTCGCATGAGCCGTGCTCCTCCTCCCCTTCACAGCACAGGCCCCGTGTTTGGTGCTGAGCTCTCCGCAGCCTTGCGGACAGGTTTTGCTGTCTCCAAGCACGGATTTGTGTTTTTATTTTCCCTTTCCTTGGCTGCTGCCACAGCATTGCCGGCGTGCCCGGGCAGCTCCGGCGGGGCCCTGGTTGCAACACAGGCGGGAAGAAAAACCGAATTTATGGAGCGCATCGGCGCAGCTCATGGCCGTGCGTGCGTGCACGCAGAGCTCTGCTACAGCCCTGAAGCCCTGCGTGGTTTTGAGGCTGAAAAAAAAAAATAAAAAAAGCCAAGATCCGCCGCTTTCAGAGCTCGCACGGTTTCCTGGCAGTGCCACAAATCTCTGGAGGTTGAAGCCGGGGGGGGGGTTTTAAACCGAGCTCGGGCTCCATGGGCACACCGCAGAGCATGGGGGGGAGGCGGGGACCTGCCCCCAGCCGTGGGCAGCGCTGGGCATCCCCAGGGGGGTCCTTGGGGAGGGGCGTCCCCGGAGCCCCCCAAACCCCATCCCCACGGCGCATCCTCCTCCTCCCTGTGCCGGGGGAGGCCGCCCCCCGTTGCCACCCCCTCCCCATCCTTTCCCACCCCCTCCCCATCCCCATCCCCATCCTTTCCCATCCCGGCTGCCGGAGGAGGGCGGGGAGCGGGGAGGGCGCGCAGGGTGCGCGCAGCCAGGGCGACGCGCGCAGGGTGCGCGCAGCCACGGGGCGGCCCCGCAGCTCCTCCCGGCTCTGCTAAACCGAGCCCAGGCAACAAAGCCCCCCCCTTTAACCCCCCCTTCCAACCGTCCCCGATCCCTTCGTGCCCTCCCCGGGATGTAGCCCAGGGCAGGGAGCTTTCTCCCCCCCCCCCTCCCCGACCCCCGGCCCCCGGCGCTCCATGCCCCCGCAGTGAGCCGGGGGGAGCCGCCGGCCACCATGGGGAAATCCAACAGCAAGTTAAAGCCCGAAGTTGTGGAGGAGCTGACCAGGAAAACCTACTGTGAGTATACCGGGGAGGGGATGGGGGGGGTGGGGGGGTCGGCTGTGCCTCGGGGGGCGGCTGGGGCGCGGGGGGCGGCGGCTCCGAGGTCCCCCCCAGGTCCCCCCCAGGTCCCCCCGCAGCCCCTCGGCTCCCTCCGGTCCCTGGTGGCCCGCACGGAGCTCCCCGGGCACCGGGGCCCCGTTCCCCTGAGCAGAAGGCGCAGGCTCCGCCGGGCTTTGTTGCAAGAATTCAGGGATTTAGGCTGGGAGGAGGAGGAAGGGAAAAAAAAAAAAAAAAAAAAAGCCCTGGGTATATTTATTTATTTTTATTTATTTATATATATCACGCAGCGGGGGCAAGGAGAGGGGCAGGGAGCCGCAGGAACCCGGCGTTTTTCTTCCCAACCCAATTCTCCGCGGCCTATTTCGGAGCTGCTTATATTGGGGGGGGGGGGGGGGCGCATCCTGCCCTCAGCCCCCCCCCCGGCCCTGCTCTGAACCCCCCCGGCCCCGCTGCTGGCTGCGTACCCCTGGCTGGGGGCTCTGCCCCCATAACCAGGGCGTCCGGGTGGCCCTCAAAGTTTGGGGGCGTTACTTGGCGGGGGCTCCTTTGTTGCTGTGTGCGCCGGCACCGGGTTCGGTGTTTTCCTGCGAGTATCTGAGCAGCAGTTCAATAACCCTGGGTTCTGGGTGAGTGGCTTTCCCCTCTGATCCTCCGCTCTAATCTTATTAGCGTGGCTGGCGGCTGAGCCATCCAGTTTTAGCAACCCAATTTTATTATTATTTTTTATTTTTGGTTATCCTGAAGGGATGCACAAAGGAAACAAAGGCTCTGACGCTTCAAGTTTGCCTCCCCTCTCTCCGGGTGCAGATATTTCCCCCCTCTCCTTGGCCGGGGAGCCGCTAACGTGCGGCAGACCTGCGAGCTCTCCTCTCCCCCTGTCATTGCTGCAGTCCCACAGCAGCGCTTACCCAAAAAGGCAATAGATTAGGATGCAGCAAGTTCTCCCATATGGAGAGGAGGCAACGCTGGTGCATTGCACAACCCCACACGCCGGGTTGCTTCCCTCTCTCTCGCCGGTGCACAGCCGGGAGGAGGGCGCAGCCAGCCCACGAGGGGTGCCAGGGTGGCTTGGGGCACCCTGGCTCAGCGGCTCGGAGAGCAGAAATGGCAAAAAATAGGTGGCAGGGCCAGCCCCATGGGGGTGGCAGGGGCTGGAGGTGGGTTGTGGTGTCCCCACGGCGGGTGCAGGTGGGCTGGTTCTGGGGATCGCCGTGCGCGCATCCGAGCTGTGATGGAGAGAGCAGCCTCATCCCCTGGTGATGTCCAGAAAGCGCTGGGCTTTCTGCACCCATGGGTGGCCCCAGGCTTTGGCACACGGGGAGAGCTGCCCCGTGTCTTCCCAGCAGCGGTGCTGACAGACGCAGCGCCAGCGGAGCCATCGTCTGGGGGTGTCTCTGCGGGATGGGGCCAGCGGGGGGTCACCGCCTTTGGAATCGCTTCACTCGCAACTTTCTGCATCTCTCTCTCGGGTGCCCTTCCCTTTCCGTGTGGCCATCACTAACACCAGGCCCTGCTCATTGAGCTCTGCTCGTTCCCCCTGTTGTCTCCGGGATTAATTCCTTTTGCTGAGTGTTTCTGCCCCTTCTCTGCAGCCGTCAAGGCGAGCCGCGCGCTCTCTTGGCTAGCCAAGCACCGCACGGGGCCCTCCCAGGCACGTCTGGGAGCCCCTGGTTTATCTCCAGCCCCTGGGAGACTGGAAAATGTTCATTTCCTTCTGCTTTTGGGGGAATCTGGGCACCGAGGAGATGCAGGTGGCAGTGCAGGTTAGCACCGGGTGCTCTAGGAGGGACACGGTCCCTGGCTGGAGCAGGGGACAGTGGCTCCTGCCCATGTCACGCAGGTCTGTGGTGTCACAGCACCTCTCTGGCAATTTTTGCAGATCTGTCACACCTGTGGGACCACAGGGGGGCCGCACCCCCAGCCTGCACCATGTCCCAGTGCCGGGTGGCTTCTGGTGTCCCCCGTCCCCTCTGGTGACACCACCGGGGTCTTTCTCTGGCCCTGGGCGCAGCGATTTGGGGGTGCTGCTGAGGATGCTGCAGGTTGGCCACCAAAATCGTGTCACTGCTGCTGCTCAGCGCAGCTCGCCCTGAGCCCTCCAGGAGCAGATGGGGAAGGGCAGGAGCTGGGGACCCTCACCTGGGCTCCCCTCCCCGTTACGGTGCCAGGGGGTGGCTTTAATGGCACTTGGGCACCTGAAGGTGCAGCAGGACGCCCAAGGGCTTGCCCTGTTGGTTTGGACCCATCGCCGTGAGTCCTTCATCATCTCCCAGTGCCCACGAAAATCTGGCAGCACCAAGCGAGCCCTGCAAGGCCTCGGCCTTCCTTGGGGGCCGGGCTGCTGCTGTGCGGGAGCGTGCGGGAGGAACGGCAGCGGTAATGAATAATAAATCATCTCCTGCCTTGTGCTTCCATGGAGCCTCTCATCCAAAAGCTCTCAGAGTGCTTTATAATCATTAATTTATTATTAATCCTCCCCGTGCCTCGCTGAGGTAGCTCAGAGACAGGTTTGGCTGCTGTGGGTTTTGTCCCGGGGGTGTTAATGCTGGAGGCTCAAGGAGCCCCCTGCTCCCCGGGGCTGTGCCCGGCTCCCCTCTGGATTTAACTCCAGGTGCTCTCACCAGGGCCACCGTGGGATTTGGGAGTGGGTTCTGCTGAGCTTGTGAAGGTCCTGGGGTGTTGTGAAGGTCCTGGCCAGGCCTCGAGGGCAGCTTGTGCAAAGCAGGTGTGGGCGCAGAGCGTGCGTGGTGCTTGGGAAGGGCTCTCCATGGACTCCAGGCAGAGAAACGCAGCGCCGGGTGTCCCTGCTCGCAGCACCAGCACCGTGCCGGCAGCCCTCCAAATCACAAAATGGGCTTAAAAGTCTGAGGGTGCTTTGGAAAAGCACAATTCAGCTTTTTCCCTCTGGTCGTTTCTGGGGGTTGCTCTCCAAGTTCGCTCTCCGCAGCTTTTTCCCCGGTGCAGCCCCCCTAACACCGCCTTATTTCCACGCCAGCCGTGACCCCCCCCGGGACCCGGGGTGCTGGGGGAGGCACGGGAACGGTGCCCGGGCTGCAGAGGGTGCGAGCAGAGGAAGATGCTCTTTTTCCCAGGAGCCGCGTCCCACCCACTGTGATCTATTTTGTGGATTTTCAGCTCACTCCGGCATCATCATTTTCTGCTCTTTTACAATAAGCCGCAAAATTGGCTCTGTTGCTCGACAGTAATGCATTGAATTAATGGGCATTAGTTTAAGAGCAAACTACAAACATATCGATTGGTAGTTACGGGGCGGCTGGCTAAATTCTGCGGGGAAAAGAAAGAAAATTCTCCAGCTGCAGCAGTTTGCAGCCAGGAAACCGGGGGGGGGGTTACTCGGCTGGGGGGGTGCAGGGATGGAGCCGGGGCCGTGGGGAGGAGCAGGGGGCCGGGTGGCACAGCGGAGCACGTCGGTGGCTCCCCGCTGTGGGTTTATTTTTATCCTCCAAAGTGTTTGGCCCCGGGCTTTGGGTTCCTCTGCCAGGCTGGTTGGTGTTGGAATCCCTCCTGTTGCTCACCCGGTGGAAATTGGGGCACGCTGGTGAGAAGCGAGCCCGGTGCCTGAGCACCCGGCGCCAGCAAACGATGGGGGAAACACCCAGAGCGTGGGGAGGTCGCAGTGGCTGGGTGTAGCACCAGCCCCGTTTCCCTTCTCTCTGCCCTACGTGCACCATTTTGGGGTAAACGGTGCCTCGGGATCCTCTCCTTGGGGGTGGGTGGGTGGCGTGGGGCTGCAGACCCCCCTTGGGGTGCCAAGGTGGGTGCAAGCCCAGTGCTGGAAGCCCTCCGGCTGGAGGCCGAGCTGCTGCTGCCTGCTTTTGGTGCATAAAGGCATTTGCAGGAGCCCAAAAGGGAATTTTGGGATGGGAGCGCCCAGCCCAGGTGCTGCAGAGGTGGTGGCTGTGGTGCAGGCTCCCGGTCACTGCGATCTTGGAGGGGGGGGGGACCCAATTTTATGTCTCCAGGGGGCTGTAGTGGCCTGGAGAGCACCTGCAGCCCCCTCCCCAGGGAGACCCTGCTCTCCTCGTGGCAAATCCCACATCTCGTTGTCCCAGGGTAGGTGTGAGCACAGCGAGCTTTGGGGCATCAGACCTGCGGCACCCAGCCCCTGTGGTCCCCGGGGGGGACACGAGGAGGGGACACGAGGGGGACCTTGGCCCCCACCCCACAACCGAGCGAGGCAGCCACGGCCTGGTGCTGCGAAGGCATCGGAAGAATCACATTTCATTTATCCCCTGACATGTTAATGGATCTGCTTAACCACTCTGCTGACCTTTGCTGCTGCCGTTATAATTAAGGTTGTGAAACAAGAGGCTCTGAAGGCATCAAAGGAAGCGGCTGCTCCAGGGAGGAGCCCAACGATTGGGGTGGGGGGGGACATTCGTGGCCTCGCTTTGCGCCTTCCTCTCCTTCTGGGCCCTCTTAGGACAGGGGGAGCCCTAAGAAAAGGCAGCCAGGGCCCCCATCCCCCTTCACCAGTGATGTGCCCGGGGTGCCCTGCCCCATGCCGTGGCTCTTCGGTGGCTGCTGCCATGGGTTCCCTGTGCTGGGGACAGGACCCGAGCTGTGCCGGGGGCTGTGCCGGAGCAGGGCTCGCTTCCCCTGCCCCCTGCAAGCCGCTCGCCCTCTGGGGCTTATTTTTTGTCTCTGCATGGAGGCAGGGCTGGCTGTGCCGTGCTGCGGCCTCGGGTGTCTCCGCACTGATGGCAGGACCCCACGGAGATGCCCTGGGGATCCCCTTTAGCCTGGGGGAGGAGCAGGTGTAGGGCACCTCCGGCACCCTCTGCCCAGGTTAGGAATCCCTCTGTGTCTGGGGACAGCGCCCGGGCACCAGGCGATGCCCAAATCCCTGCAGGGATGGAGCCAGGGGTCGGGGCGCATCTGCCCGCCCTGCAGCTCCTCCAGTGCCTCTCCCGGCCATTTCAGGAGCTCTCATT